TCAGGGTCGCAGGAGGTGGGTGATGGCTTGGCAAGGGCATGTGTCTTCAGGGAGCCCCATGTGGCCCACATGGGCCTTGGCAGTGGGGCCTCTGCCGGGGTGGGGGGCGGGGGGCGCAGCCCAGGCTCCTCAAGACAGGCCCCTTCTGTCGAGCACCCTAACCCTGTGCGCAGGTGAGCGTGGAGCTGGCCAAGGTGCTGCTGCACCTGGAGGAGAAGACAGCCGTGGCCGGGTTCGAGGGGCTGCGCCAGAGGGCCCTGGTGGCCCTCACAGTCACAGACCCGGCTCGGGTGAGTCCCCGCGGCTGAGTGGAGCTCGGGTTGTGCCCCCAGCAGGGGCTGTGCTGGGACCCTGTCTCCGGGATTGTGGTCCTCAGAGGCCTCTCGTCCGCCCGGCCTAGGTGGCGGAGTACCTGACCGCACAGTTCTACGCCCTCAACTACAGCCTCCGGCAGCGCATGGACATTCTGGACGTAAGTGCCTGGGCCTCTGTCCCACTCATCAGGGCTGGACTGGCAGGCCTGGTGCAAAGCCCCTGGAGGGGGAGCAAGCATTTGCCAGAATCTATAGGGATGGGACCACAGGCCTCCCCAAGCCCCTTGTTGCCAGACCTGAGAGGCTGGGACCAGCGTCTGTCTGATGTTTTCTTGACAGAGCATGGGCTTCAGGGGCTGCATTCTTTGTTTTAGATAACAGCGTTACTGAGGTATGACGCACACACTGTAAAATTCAGTCTTAAAATAAGCAGAACGTGGTGGGTTCATACAGTGGAATATTACTTGGTCTTAAAAAGGAACGAAATTCTGACACCGTGCTCAGGGAAATAAGCCAGACTCAAAAGGACAAATAGCGTACAATTCCACTTACGTGAGGTCCCCGCAGCCATCAGATTCACAGGAAGAGAGCAGATGGTGGGTGCCAGGGGCTGAGGGAGGGGTGAGGAGTCAGGGTTTAATGGGACAGAGGTTCAGTTTGGGAGGATGAGAAGGTTCTGGAGGTGCTGGTGGTGACGGTGGCACCATGAGTTTACCTGGTGCCGCTGAGCCGCGCTGAACAACGATTACCATGGTGAACGATACACCACGTGTGTTCGTCACAGTGACACAGAGACTAAGACAAAGCTGAAAAAAAGTTCAGCGTTTCTGTGTTTACAGTTCAGGGGCGTTTGGTACTTTCCCGACGTCATGTGACCATCACGTCCACCTGCTTTCAGGACGTCCCATGTCACCCTCAAAAGAACCCAAGACGCTCCCTCCCCACCCCCAGCCCTGCAGTCAGTCTGCTCTGTCTGTGCATCTGCTTGTCCTGGGTGCTTCCTAAAAACGAGGTTGCACGTGTGGCCTCCGGGTCCGGCTCCGTTCACATATGGCCTGGGCTGGGGTTCCTTCCCTTATCCTGAGAGGTGGGGGTGGCGGGATTGGATGGGCTTCGGGAGAAGTGACCAAAGGTTTCAGGCTCGTCAGCAGGGAGCACGCCCACCTCCTTTCTGTCACCCGACAAAGTGAAGCGAGCCTAAGGGACTCTAACTGACTAGCATGGGGTTCCCAGAACCTCCCCCCTGAGGACTGCTGGGGCCTTCGAGGGCACCCGATTCACCTTGAAATTTGGAAGATGTCATCCTTCCCCAGTGGGATGGCGGCTACCCCCGGTGTCTCCTCTCTTCTAGGTCCTGACTCTGGCCGCCCAGGAGCTGTCTCGGCCGGGGCGCCTTGGGAAGGCTCCCCAGTGGGGCTCCCCAGACCCCGGCTCCCAGCCTGGTGGTGCTGTGGTCCCGGCCTGGCGGGCGGTGGTGGAGGAGCGCGTCAGACGTAAGACCCGGCGGTTTTCCAAGGTCAGCCAGGCCCTGGGGTGGCCTCTTGGGTGGGACCTCTGCCCCGAGGGGACAGTGACCACAGTGTCCTGTGAAGGGAGGGTTTTTGGTACAAACTGAGTGATGTGACACATGCTGTTAGGGCATCACACTGAAGTGACTTTAAAACGTGAATGCAGCGTTAAAACGTGTGAAAACAGCCCTGAGGGTTCTCTGTCGGCAACGACTGGCCTGGCGTGTGCTGGGTCATTGGGGTCCCTCTAGGCCGGGGCTGAATGTGCTCTCCTGGGATGTTGGGCCATGTCTGGAGACATTCTCAGTCATCACCGGGGGTGGGGGGTGGTGCCTGCTCCTCTGGTGCTCAGGACCACCCCTCCCACGTGTCCCCGAGTGTCCCTGGTGTGAGGTCTCCAGGCAAGGCTGTGCCCTGTGCCCTGCCTGGCGCCTTGTGAGCACGTGTGTTTGGCAGGGCTCTGCGGGGCGGGCATCAGCCGTTGGCCCCAACGAATTCAACTCCGTGGCTGGCTACTTCTTCTTCCCCCTCCTTCAACATTTTGACAGGTGAGAGAGTTTTCTGGAGGCCTGTGATTTGGGGAACAGGAGCCCTGGCATCCGTGGGTGGGAGGGTCCCTAGGGTGGGGGCTAAGGTGGGATTTGGGTTCAGGGGGGTCAGGAACTCGGCTGTGATTGTTTGTAGCTTAAATCAAGTGACGTGAGGGCATTAGGCGTCAGGGTGTCCGTTATCTCCGGATGCTGGGTTCATGGTGGGGCCGGGGCCAGAGCCTCACCCTGGTGCCTCGACCCGGCGTGCCCTGCCGCCCCCGTGCGCATCCTTGTCCTGCCTCAGCCCGAGCGGGGTGCAGATATCCCCCAGCCATCGCCACGTGGGTGCAAGGCTCTGTGGACAGAGGGAAGGGCCTGGAGCCCTTTGCTGCAGAGGCCCTGCAGGCAGCGGTCCTGCTTCCTGATCCAGGCCCGGGCTTGACCAGGTGGCCTTGCAAAGTGACGGGGAGTCTGTCCAACACCTTCTTGTGGCTCTGGGCGCCATGTGGGGACAGGCAGTGAGGAGGGGCGTCCAGGGGCTTGGGGTGCCCTTGGTGGCCCACGAGGTTGGGGAGCCGGCCCCGAGTGCCTGGCCTGCACCATTCACTGGGTTCTGTGTTGTAGGCCTCTAGTGACTTTCGACCTTTTGGGAGATGACCAGTTGGTTCTTGGGAGACTGGCCCACACCTTAGGGGCCCTGATGTACCTGGCTGTGAACACCACGGTGAGCTGGGACCCCGTTCCTCTGGCATCTGATGGCTCACCTCCTGTGGGGTTTGCGCCATGTTCTGTCCCCCTGTGGGCCTTTCCTTGGGACAGGAGTGTTTGGACCCGAGGATGGGGTCTGAGGCGGGGACTGCTGTGTGCCAGGACCCCTGCCTACTGGCTTCTGCTGTTTCAGGTGGCTGTGCCCATGGGCAAGGCCCTGCTGGAGTTCGTGTGGGCCCTTCGTTTCCACGGTGATGCGTGAGTAGCTACAGGGCTGAGGGGAGTCGGGTGAGGTGAGGGTCCTGAATCCTGCCGGAAAGTGGACAGTGGGAGGTGGGTGGCGGCTTCCGGGGTGGCCGAGAGGCAGCCTGGCTGGGCGCTCCTGCAGCAGGAAGGGCCGGCAGGGCTTCCCTGGCGTGGGTGGAGGGCGCCAGGCTACGGCTCCTCACGGCTCAGGCTCCTGCCTTCTCCGCAGCTATGTGCGCCAGGGCTTGCTGTCTGCTGTCTCCGCCGTCCTCCTCAGCGTTCCGGCTGAGCGGCTGCTGGCAGACCTGCTGGACGAGCTGCTGGAGGCCCGGTCCTGGCTGGGAGGTGAGTGCTAGGCCGGGGTCACCGTGGCCAGGCGGCGGGAGGCTGGTGCAGCCTGGAGGGGCCGGGAGGCCGTCAGCTCGTGGGTAGCATGGCCCAGTCCCCGGCCCAGCATGAGCGTCATGTGGCTCCCGTTTGTGTGCTGAGTGTCCTCAGTGTGGGGGTGGGGACATGGCTGCTGTCGGGTCACTTTGACTTTGGGGAGTCCTGCAGGGAAGGCGCCCAGATGTGGGGGTGGCACCTGTATATGCTGGAAAGTTCCATCCTCAGCAGAGTTACAGTGGTGATTGGCATTTTGCCACATTTTCTCTGGCGGCCACCCCTTCCCCACACACGTGCTCTTTTTAAAAAGTCTCTGTGGCCAGTAGTACCCCCACCTGTGGGCACTTGAGCCATGGCCCTCAGAGCCACCGTGCCCGTGTCCACCCTCAGGGCTCGCAGCTCATCTGCATCCACACTGGCAGGCCCGGTGGTTCTGATGGCGGCCTTTCTCTCCCTTTCTGCCAACCCTGCCCGGCGAGGCAGCCCATGAGCCTCCTAGGCTCCTGCAGGCCAGCCCCCCCACATGGGTGTCTGAGCACATCTGCATTCGGTGTGTTGGGACGGCTCGGGGCCTTGTGCTGTGGGTGCAGGTGCCTCCCCGGCCGGGCTCCTAGCCCCAGGTGCTAAGGAGCCCTTTGCCGGCGTCTGAGGAGATTCTGGTGCCACGCGGGGCTCATTCAGGAGGCCTCAAATGAGAGCAGCTGAAGAGGGCTGGCCCGCTCAGTGCTGTGACGCTGCCCACGCTTCCATTTCTCTCTTTGCAGACGTGGCCGAGAAGGACCCAGACAAGGACTGCAGGCTGCTGGCGGTGAAGGCACTACTGCTTCTGGAGAAGCTCCGAGATAAGCTCCTCCCGCTCTCCTCTCCTTAGCCCCCGACCCTCGGAAGGCACGTCCCACTGGAAGAGTGTGGGCTGGGGGCCAGCACGTGGGGCGGAGGAGCAGCTGGTACAGCCTGGAGTGTCTGCGGCTCAGCGAAGACTCTGCATCAGGGCCTCAGGTTCTGCCCCCCACAGACTGGGACTGGGATGTGGCCTCTGAGGCTTGGGCTCCAGGATGGCTGCTCAGCCCGGTGCCTCCGTGCAGCCTGTAGACTGCAGAGCTGGGGCCACTGGGCCTGGGGGCTTCTTAGCAATGTGCCCCCACCCCTTCCTCACCAAAAAGGCCAGGGACTTGAAGAACAACAGAAAAGGAAGAATAAAAGAGGTGCAGGAGCTCTTTATGGTTCTCACTCCTGCAGGGAGCCTGGTGCCCACACACGGCCCCCTGAAGGGGAGACATGGAAATGGGGGCAGGAAGGGGACACGGGCCTCTGAGAAAACAGACTTTATTTGGAGAATTTCGGCAGCTGGTGGGTGGAGCTGGGGGTGGGAAAGCATGAGGCAGCCCCCCCCGCCCCCATCATGGTGCTGTCCCTGATTGGCCCCTTATGGTGGGAGCTGGTGACGGAAAGGGCATGGCCTAGATGGACAGAGCCTCCCGCTGCAGCCTAGTGCCAACCGTTGTCTCCCGGTGGTCAGGACGGGGTGTCCTGTGGGAACCAGTCAGATGCACTGCTGGGCAACCTGTGTGGGTGCCAGGAGTGGGGGGGGGGCGGGAATATGGGGACACCCTCAGTTTCTTAGGCTTTACACCCTGTACTTGGGGGAATGTCATGGGAAAAATGAACCAACTCCCTTGACTGCCAAGGGGCTAAAACAAAACCCTGCAGGGGTCAGGGACTCAGAAGGGGTGGCTTAGAGACCCTCCCCCTGATGCCCCTCGGAGGCTAGCGCATTTTCCCACAGCTCTGCCTACGGACTCAGACACAAAACTTTCACCAGGAACGTCAGGCTCCTGCTACTGATAATGACTGGCAAGTCCCAGAAGAGCCTGGGCAGCGGCAGGCCCTCAGGGGCCATTCTCCACCTCCTCCATCACCTCCTCGTCCATCTCCTTGTGATCCTCCATGTTGTTGTGGCGCATCTGCTCCGGCATGGTGCACATCAGAGGGATGCCCAGGCCCTGGTGCACGGCGTCCACAGTGCGCTGGCTCACGTAGTACGACACGTTGGCGGAGGGCACTCTCTTCCGCATCTCCTCCAGGTACTTGTAGGCCTGGGTCACACACAACAGCCGTGACCGGTCAGCGCACAGTGGGAACAAGGGGCCCAGCCCGGGGGCAGAGTGAATAGGGGAGGGACACCTTTGGTAAAGGGGCTCGGGTGGCCTCCCGGCCTTCCCAAGCGTTGGTGGCATCTGCGGACAGCGAGGCTTAGGCTCCGGTGGTCAGTGCTGTGAGCTCCCCCAGGGAGTCCCATGGGCAGCCTGTTACCAGGACCCTGTGTGTCTGGGGACCACGTCCCAGAGGGTCCGCCCACCCTGGATACACACAGGGAGACCTCGAGGAAAGGATGGATTCATGTCTCCCGTTTGTTTCATTCACTCTGGGGTGTGTGCTTGTTGGGCCAGAGGGCTGGCAGCAACATACAAATGGTTTGTCTTGTGTATTTTGACCAGGCCTCCAATTTACCCCAGTTAATTGGCCTGTGGTTAGTGAGTCTCATGTGTGCGTGGTCCTTGGCCCGGGGCTGGTGAACTATGGGATTGTCAGTGGTTTTCCTGTAGGACTTCCTCTGGTCCTACCAGTGGGAATATGTGGGTGGGGGGGGGCATTGGGGCCGCACAGCAGCTTGGGGTGGGGTCTGAGGCAGGACGGGTGTGCTTACACCTGCTCCACCTGCCTGCACCCACCCACACCTCCTTACACCTGCTCCACCTGCTCACCCACAGGGAGGGTCATGTGCAAGCACAAGGAGCTGGAACAGGGCCTCACGTGGCTTCTACGGGTACACTGAGTATCAATTCAGAATATGAACAAAATTTCCAGGAGCTTTTTGACTTTATGAGGAAATAATCACATCTTAGCATTTCTTAAAGATGATAAAATTTTAGACTGATCTTATTTCAGACAGATATAACTCTGATATAAACAATAAAGATCATAAAGATAAAATAAGGTGTTTGGAGGGATGGGGGATGCAGCGTGCAAGTGCCCAGGAGCCCTCCAACGATGGAAGGAGATACCCAGGCACCAGGGACGCCCCTCGGTGTCTGCTGAGGGCCAGCTGTGAGCCATGCTGGGCACACAGGACACAGGTACAAGGGAGGACCAAGCCAGGCCACTGGGCGCTTCGGTGAGAAGCCCGGCCCAGCAAGGGTAGAGGGAGTTGGGCAGCCGTGGGGTTTGGGTTGGGGAGCCTACGCAGAGGGGAGGGGGTGGGAGTCGGCGGGGAAGCCAGAGAGAACACCTGGGGGCGAGGAACGACACAGCCAGGCGCACTGGGGGCAAGGGAAGCAGCGTCTCCAGAAGGAGGGTCGGCAGTCTGTCAGGATTGGACTCAGGATGGGGCCATGAGGACCGAGCGGGAGAGACGTCCCAGGGACGGGGAGACCCTGGAGCAGCAGTGGCTGCCCACACCCGGGCAGAGCACGTGGACTATAGCACAGTCTGTGTGCTGTCCTTTAAAAGATGAAGGGAAAATGCAGCCAGGTGGGGTTCTGCTGCTGGTTTCAGAGGACGAAGACCGAAAAGAACGAGGACAGAGGCTTCTGGTGAGGGCAGGGTAAGTCACATTAGACCAGCCCCCCTCCCAAACGACAAGGACAAACTGGGCAAAATGCAAAAGGCTCTGGAGAACAACCGTGGGCAGGTGGGCAGGGGGAGCCGACACTTGGGTGAGTTTTCTGCTTGTTGTAACTTCTGCCTCGGGGAGGCCCAGTCAGGGCCACTGGGGGAAGTAAAAGGCACAAAGAAACTGGCCAAAAGAACCAGAATCAGAACTGCATCCACCACAGCAGCTGGCATGTGAGGAAATGGTGAAGACAGTCGTGGAGCAGACAGAATCTGAGTGTGGGCTCTGCCCTGACCTCTGCTTGACCCTGACTCTGCATGTGGTGGGGACCAGCCACACGCCAAGGAGCCTGAGCAAAGCCACGTACTGAGCAGAGAGCCCCGCTGCCCACCACGGTGGGGGGGCTTACACTCTGAGCTCAACAAAGATGGCTGCCTAAGGAAAGCAGGACAGAAAGAAGACATAGCAGAAGCCAGGGTCTCTACAATGTGTTATCCACGATGTCCGGGATACAAAAAACTGCTGGACATAAAAAGAAACAGGAAAACCTGACCTATACTCAAGAGAAAAGACAAATAATGGAGACCAACTCAACATGTCCAGATGTTTGAATTAGTGGCACAGACTTTGAAGCAGCAATTACAACTATGCTCAGGAGTATAAAGTGTTCATTCTTAATGAATCAACAAATAGGAAATTTTAGCAGAAAACTAAAAAAAAAGAACTAAGTGTAAATTCTAGAACAGAAAAATACAAAATCTAAAATGAAAAATCTGCTGGACAGGTTAACAGCGGATTGAAGATAGCCAGAGAGAGTCAGTATATTTGAAGAGTTATGTTACCTAATTCAAGTAATAGGAAGAAAAGATTAATAACAATGAACATCAATTACAAATGTGTATCCACTTAATATGAAAAGGCCTAACACTTAACTGGAGACCCAGAAAGAGAGAATAAGGCAGGAAAAAAATATTTGAAGGAAAAATAATTACAGATTTCCCAAATACAGTCACAAAAGGATCAAATTTGTTTCCAAGTAACTTACCCTTATCCCAGGAGAAAACTCAACAATATTGAAAAGAACACACACACAGACTCCAGCACTTGACAACCTAAAACATTTACAGTGTCTGGAATCCAATAAATAATTGCAGACCTGCGAAGCAGGAAAATATGAACCATAACAAAGAGAAGAATCGACCAATAGGGACAACCGGAATTGACATGGAGCCGAGGACTTTACAGTAGTAAATATTTCACGTGCTCAGTAAGGCAGAGGAAAAAGTAGCAGAATAAAGAAACACAGGAGACGGAGGGAGGAGAGCCGGTTCAGACCCACTGGAGGTGAAACTACGGAAGGAGCAATACCAGAGCGGACTCTGCAGAAGGAAGACAGTCAACTTGCAGCAACAGCAAAGCAACCGCCCCAAATGAAAATAGGAAAAATTCTGGGAAAAAGAATCAGTTGAGCCAGGGGCCAATATATACAAGTGGCTGGAGTCCAGAAGGAGGGGGAGGGCAAGGGATGAAAGGGAACTCCCTACAGACGGGGAGAAAACACGGCAGCTCGCACATCTGATGCAGACAACGTCCAGGCCACACTCAATAAGAAGACAAACACCCAATGAAGCAAGGGGCAGTGTGAGCACTTGCAGGAGGGGACCTGAGCAGGGGCTTGCCACCAGCCACGCAGACAGGGTGTGTTACAACCACAGTGAGACACCACCACACACCTACCTACATCGCAGCCACCACCAGCTGCGTGTCCACTCAATACTTGGACTTTCCTGATGAGATCGCTGCCAACAGGATTTCTTGTGTGTAATGAAATGTTTTGACATTTGCACAACCCAGTGAACCAGTATTTTCCAAACGACCACCATGATGTTACAAAATCATGTATGTGTAAAAGATGGAAGGTAGACCAACGGGTTTTAAGGTAACAAGTAAAAAAAGCATGCTGACATGGTTTCAGATTGCTCATTGCAACTAACTTAGGAAACACCACTTGTGGAGTGTGGTGTGGTGTCTAAGACCCGCGAATACTTGACAGGGCTGCTACAAGGTCCTCCCCTTCTCACCTACACATTGGGGTGAAGCTGCGTTTTCATCACAGATTTCATGTTTCAGTGAAAACTTATTTTACCACATTGAATGCAGAAGCAGACATGGAGAGTCTGGCTGTCCTGTATTACGTCAGACATTAAAGAGATTTGCAACAATGTAAAACAAAGTTACTTTTCTCACTAAATGTCTTTGTTTTGAAAAATACAGTTATTTTAAATGAAAATGTTACTTATGTTACCATGTAGGGGGTTTATTTTATTTTTAAGTAAATTAACAAATATTTTACAAATTTATTAGCTTATTTTCTAATACAGTAAATATTCGTAGATATAACCCACATAAAGCTCTTAGGGTCCTCAATAACTTCCCCAGCGTAAAGGGGTCCCAAGACCAAAATGTTTGAGAACTGCTCTGTTAAACTGAATTATCAAAACCCTTCCACAAAGAAAGCTCCAGGACCAGTGGGTTCACTTACACATTCTATCCTACATTTAAGGAAGTGACACCCATCTTACATACACTCTCTCAACTCCAGGAGGTGGGCACCCCAAGTGTTATTAGCAAACTGAGGAGTGAAGGGACAGGAAAGGATGTCTGTGCCTGTCAAATGGCTCAGAAAATACCCATTTTATGTATAAAGTAGAAAATTTAAAACATAGAATGAATACATAAATGTGGCAAAATGTTAAAAAAAATGAATCTGGTAAAGGGTTGGGTTCTATTATTCTTGTAACTTCTCAGTTTGAAATTATTTCAAAATAAGAAAGGCTGAAAAGTCAAAAAGAAAATCAAAACTTGGGGAGGTGCCTCCCCCACTGCGAGCTCCGCAGGGGGCTCTGCAGCCGGGATACCCCCATCACCCCGCAACCCCATCAGCCCCAGGTGCAGCCTCACCGTCTGCAGGTCCTCCATCTGCACGTGGCGCTCAACCAGGAAGCCGTATACGTCCCCGACGCGGACGGTGCTGTCCAGGTCCGGCTCCTCCAGGAGCAGCTTGCACTGCCTGACCGACTCCTTGGGGTCCTCGGTGTATGTCCTGCTGGGAGCAGGGACATTCTGAGCCCCAACCCAGGGCACGGCTACACGTCAGGGGTTAGGGCAGGCTCTCGGCCTGGAGGATGCAGCTTTTTTGTTTGTTTTGTTTTTGTTTTTGTTTTTTTGCGGTACGCGGGCCTCTCACTGTGGTGGCCTCTGCCATTGTGGAGCACAGGCTCCGGACGCACAGGCTCAGCGGCCATGGCTCACGGGCCCAGCTACTCCGCAGCATGTGGGATCTTCCCGGACCGGGGCACGAACCTGTGTCCCCTGCATCGGCAGGCAGACTCTCAACCACTGCGCCACCAGGGAAGCCCAAGGATGCAGCTTTTGAGAAGGTAATTCCCGTGAACTAAATTAATTCTTTATTGAGTCAATTCATAAATTCACTAATTTGTTTTAACAAAACGTATTGACCGCTTGCAGGGCTGGTACTGGTGCTGCACTAGACTCTGGAGGGCACGGCCTGTCAATGCCAGTCCCGCCCAGGGAGCAGCCTGGGGCAGAGAGGTGAGGGCATGGAGGGGGTGCGTCACTGTGGGGAAGCGTCAGGGAGGGCAGCCCAGGCAAAGGCCAACGCAGTGACGCCCAGGGTCTCCGCAGTGCCTGGTGCGGTGCGTGCAGGCGGGGGTGGGACCAGGATGCCCTGTGAGTCCCCCACAGGCTGGCCCTCTGGCCCCCGCATTCCCCTCCCTCTGTCCAAGCACCCTGCCCTGTGGCTGAGCCCCCTCCCTCCTGCAGCCCTGACGTTCCTGAAGCTACACATCTGAGTGGGGGAGCACCCTTCAAAGAGCCCCACTCCATAAACAGCATTCAAAATGTTTTTGGAAGTCTTTGGAAAGCCTCTTCTCAGATAAGCAAAGTGCTTTCATTGGTTTGGCAGGAGCTGAGCCCTGCTGTCCACACAGGGGTCTTGGAAGCACTGGACTAGCTACCAGTAAGTAAAAACTAAGACCCCATACACATTTGGATTTGTGGCCTGTCCTAAAACAGGCGGTGTGCTGCCCGAGCCTCCACCCCACGGGCCCCCTCCCCAGAACCACCTGCTGGACCCCTGCACGCACCTGAGCAGGCCCTGGGCTCCCCTCAGACACAGCCTCTCCTGACACCAACCTGCCTCCCCCGACCACCACTTTCCTCCCTCAAAGGTCTCGGCTGTTTCTGGAACAACCTCCCAAGAGTCGGCCCGGTTCTGCAGGAACCAGAGGAGCCCCGACGTGCATAGAGCAATGGCACACCCTGCCCTTCCCGTCCAGCTGTCCAAGGAGTTCCTTAGAAGAATGTCCATTGGAAGTGCCATGCTGCCCCACGGCTGACGCACCTGCGGGCCTGCATGAAGCGCTTCACCAGTGCCATTTTGCTCTGCAGCTGCGCCAACCTGGCCTCCTGGTCCAGTGGGCTCCTGGCCTTGGCCTTGGACAGGCACTTGTAGGCCTCAGTCAGTGCCCCGTGGGCCTTGTCGTAGTTCTGGTACTCGTCGATCTCTACCTGCAGGAGGAGGCGTCAGGACCCATGGGTCCTCCACCCACCCGGGGCCCCTGGAAGTGGGGGGTCGGTACCTGGGCACAGGCATCGTAGAAGCCGGCCAGGAGGTCCAGGGCCCGGCCCTTGGTGTAGAAGCTGATGATGCTCTTCATGATCTCCGGGTCCTTCCGCCAGTCCAGGGACTGCAGGTAGTTGGCTGCCATGATGTAGATCTCCTTTTGCCTCGAGACGCCCGCAAAGAACACAATTTTCTCAGTGTCCCCAGACTTGAGCAGTGCTCTCATGGCCTGGACAGAGAAAGAGCCGGGCTGGCCCCTTCCTGGCAAGGTGGACAGAGCTCCCGCCCGATGCTGCAGGTGTGTCTTCAGGACAAGCGAGCTCTGGGCTGCAAAGTCTTGGCAGGCGCCCTCGGAACCCTGCCCAGAAGCTCATCCCACAGGGCACCCATGCGCCGGGCCGCACTCACCTTCAGCCTGTCCCCTGCCTGCGTGTACTTCTTGGTGGCCAGGTGGTAGTTGCCCTGGCGCATGCAGCAGCTGGCAATCTGCTCCAGCAGCTCACGCCGGGACTCTTCAGACAGCTCCTTGCAGTCCTTGGACACCGTCATCTTTTCAGCCATCTCCTCAGTGATGGTCAAGTTCTGCTCCAGGCAGAGCTGCAGGGCTTCGTGATACTGGGAAGGGCCACAGAAACCAAGGGGCAGTCACCTGTGGCCTGGGGGAGAGCCACACCTCCCCGCCTCCTGGGGTGGGGGTGGGGGGAACAGTGCGGCCAGGTGGGGGCACGTGACCTTCTCTTGCTATTGATACTCTAGAGGCAACCAAGGAAACGTGCAGCCCAAAAGGAAGTTATATTCATTGTGGGAGGAAAAGGAGACCAGAAACTAATTTCTTTCTATAATTCTTTTCAAGTTTTCAAAGTAAGGAGTTTAATTAATTTAATTAACTTTCCTTAAAAATTCAAGAAAAATTATATATTCTTCACTTAAGAACGTGTCTTGGGGGGCTTCCCTGGTGGCTCAGTGGTTAAGAATCTGCCTGCTGGGGCTTCCCTGGTGGCGCAGTGGTTGAGAGTCCGCCTGCCGATGCAGGGGGCATGGGTTCGTGCCCCGGTCCGGGAAGATCCCACATGCCGCGGAGCAGCTGGGCCCGTGAGCCATGGCCGCTGAGCCTACGCGTCCGGAGCCTGTGCTCCGCAACGGGAGAGGCCACAACAGTGAGAGGCCTGTGTACCGCAAAAAAAAAAAAAAAAAAAGAATCTGCCTGCCAATGCAGGGGACGTGGGATCGAGCCCTGGTCCGGGAAGATCCCACACGCCGTGGAGCAACTAAGCCCGTGCGCCACAACTACTGAGACCACGCGCTGCAACTACTGAAGCCCGAGCGCTCTAGAGCCCGCGAGCCACAACTACTGAAGCCCGCGCGCCTAGGCCCATGCTCCTCAACAAAGACACCGCAATGAAAAGCCTGCGCACCGCAACGAAGAGTAGCCCCCGCTCGCCCAACTAGAGAAACACCGTGCGCAACAACGAACTCAACGCAGCCAAAAATAAAATAAATTAAAAAAAAAATAAAACAGCCCATTGTGGATTAATAAAAAAGAATGTGTCTTGGGAAGAAAAAGAACTATATCTTGGAGATGATTTGCCCTGCTGACGGCTGTGCTGGGAACCTGCAGGGCATCCTGCCCAGACTCAGAGGGTGGTCCTGCAGGTGCGGAGGTCCTTGTGCCTATGCCACTCACTCATGTATAAGTGTGTTGTTAGCATGACTGCTGACGATAGGAAGCACTGGACCAAGGAAGATGTGCTTGTCACCTGTGGCAGGCGCCACTGCCATGTTCCTACCCGCAGCCTGAGCACAACTGTTTCCCACTACAACCTGGCGGGTTTTCTAGCCTTTTTACTTTACTAGCCTAATTCACAAACAATGGCATCTCCTCACGTCTGATCTGTATTCCCCTGATATGAGTGAGGCTGTGTATCGGACATTCAGGAACCATCCAGATTTCCTTTTTTTAAAACAAACTGACCATATTCTTTGTCCTTCCTCTTGAGTTGTTGGTAGATTTCTTATTGGTTTATAGAAACTCTATACATATTAAGAAGATTGGCCTTTCGGGATATAGGTAGAATACATTTTTTCCCATTTTATTATTCATCTTTGCTTTGTTTATGCTGTGTTTTCCATGTGCTATTTTCAAATTTGTATTTGGTCAAATTGATCAGTCTTTCCCACTATGGCTGTTGGGTTTTGAGTTGTATTTAGAAAATGCCTTCCCTCCTTCAAGGTCATACGAGACACATATGGCTTCTGGTGGCACTGGGCCGCCTCCCTATGCACTTAGATCTCTGACCTGCCTGCAGTTTCCTCAGACGCAGCGGGTGAGAAGGGTTTAACTTCACTTTTCCCAAGTGGCCACCTGGCTGTGTCAACCCCATTCACCGAAGGGCTCATCCCCACTGTTGTGAGATGCTCCTTCACCACATGTAAATGTGCATCCGTATGTGGCTCTATTTCTGGATTTTCTAGTATTTCCTACTGATCTATAGGCCCGATCACGGACTAAACCCCAATTATTCTAGCACTGATATAGTTTATGATCTGGGAGGTTTAATCACCTCTTGCTATACTCTTCTTTCCAGATTTTTCTTGGCTCTTCTGGCTTATCTGGTTTTCACTGTAAAACTACAGAATCCACTTATCTAACTAGAGGAAGCCCTGTGGTATTTTTCCTGGGGTCAGAGTCAGTCTGAAGCGGCCTTAGGGAGGCCAGTCAGTAGGTCTCTCTAACCAAGTACGTGGTGTGTGTGCCTTTTCACTTGCTCAGGAATTCTCCTATCACTCATAATGAGAGACGACACTGCACGTGTGATTCTGGCTGCAGGAAAAAAGATCTTCCAATTAGGACAGGCTGATTCTGGGTGACTAACCATTTTCTATATCTCCATTCAGTTTCCATCAAGGGGAATTTTTCTCCTTAAGGAAGATTAGTGCACATACCCATTAAGACGGCTACTATCAGAAACTAGAAGACAGGGAGTGTTGCGGAGGATGTGGAGAAACTGGGACCCTGGTGCTCTGCTGGTGGGAGCATCAAACGGTTCAGCCGCCGTGGAAACAGTGTGGCGGTTCCACAGAATGTTAGAGCAGAGTTATCATGTGACCCAGCACTTCCCTCTCTGGGTAAATTCCCCAAAGAACTGAAAGCAGGGTCTTGAAGAGATGTTCGCACATTCATGCTCATTCACAACGGTCAAAAGGTAGAGAGAATTCCCTGGCGGTTAGGACGCTGCGCTCTCACTGCCAAGGGCCCAGGTTCCATCCCTAGTTGGCGAACTAAGATCCCACAAGCTGTGCTGGTGTGGCCAAAAAAAAAGGGTAGAAGCAACCCGAACGTCCACCTGTGGATGCTGGACAAGCCAGGTGTGGTCTGTCCGTGCAGAGGAATACGGTTCAGTCTCAAACAGCAGGGACCTTCCAACACACGCTGCAGCGTGGACGGCCTGGGGGACTCTATGCTCGGGCGAAAAGCCAGTCGCAAAGACAAGCGACTCCGCTGACACACGTCCCTAGACTCACACTCAGAGAGACAGAAAAGCGGAGGGTGCGTGCCAGGGGACGGAAGAGTTTGAGTTCTGCGAGACCAGTAGGGTCTTGGAGATCAGCTGCACGAACACGTGAATGTGCTTAACACCACTGAGTTGTACACTCAAAAACCCCTAAGATGGTAACTTTCACGTTATGTGCTCTTTACAACACACACACAGAAGAAAGTGGACTCCTTAGCTATGACTGGAAACAGGCGGCGAGTCCCGCACAGGCCGGCCTGGCCTTCCTGGTGAGCGTGGTTGGTGAGGGTGGCCGCCCGCCCGCAGGGCCCGTACCTTCTTGGCGGCTAGCAGCAGCTCCACCGCCTTCTCGTACTGACTGTGCTCCAGGAAGAAATCGGAGCAGCGGGCCAGGAGGGCGGGGTCTGACTTCTCGTCCAGGTCCTCTGCCACAAGCTGCAGGGCCACAAACTGCTGTGTGGCGAAGGCCAGCTCCAGGGCCTTGGAGAAGTGGCCGGCCTGTGGACAGCGGGGGAGCTCTGAGCAGCACCGTCTGGGCGCCCCACTGTGCCCGGGGCCTGGAGCGGGTGGCCTCACCTTGTGGTACAGCATGACCGCCTGGTCCATCTGCTCGCCCTTCTCCTCGTAGTAGCGTGCGGCCTCGATCATGTCTTTGGGGGAGCTCAGCAGGGCCAAATTCATAAGCTGGTCATCCAGGCCGTGCTCCTGTGGGAGCACAGAACGTTGGGGAACTACCTGACATGAGGGCTCTCCGCCTTTTCGACTTTTCTTGAAGTGGGACCCTGGGCTGGAACACTTTTATGGATGCAGAGCGTCCGATGGCTTCCTAGGTAGGTCTACTGAGTACGAGGCGTGAACAGCCTCCCTGCTGCTCAGGAGCCTGGATAGCAGGGAGCGTCCCCGAGCGCACTTGGGCAGAATGAGGCGTGAGATGTAGACACCTGCCTGGGTAGGGGTATGACACTCACGACATGAGTCTCTAACTTTCTGTTTGAAACTCTCTCAACAGAAGGTGGGAAGCAGCCTCCCCCACGCGGAGGCGCTGGCAGGGGCTGGGCGCGCACCTTACAGAGGCGGATGGCATTGTTGAAGGCCTGGGCGCGTGTGTAGAAGTGCACGGCCTGCCGCACCTCGTCCTGGCTCTCGTACTGGCGGGCCAGGTGGTAGGAGGCTGCCCAGTTCCCGGTCTCGCTGGCTATCTCTGCGGCCTAGAGACACCAGGGACAGGGGTTTTGCGTGCAGCCTCCTCTGCCAAGCAGCCCGCCTCCCTCCAGGGCTCCTACCTTCTGGATATTGCCCTGGAAGCAGTAAACGCGGACCAGAGAGAAGTAGTCGTGCGCCAGCTCATAGTAGCGAAGTGCAGCATCCATCTCGGCCTGGCTCTCCAGGTACTGGGCCCACCACCTCCACAGGGTCCTGCAAAGAGCCGCATGCGCTCCCTCAGGCCCCTCTCCCGCCGGAAGTGAGCCCTGGGTCCCACACCAGCAGCCAGGAGACATGGACGCTGGGTGGATGAGCCCGAGTGAGGTCCCTGGGGGAGGCCCCCTCCCGGTGCCCTGGGGACCAGCTCACGTGTGAGGCTCTGGGGGGAAGCCCTCCCAGGCCCAGCCACTCACTTGTCCTTCATCTTGTTGATGTATAGCTCCAGGGCCTGCAGGTCCTCCGCCAGCATCCGTGGCACCTCGAAGCGGTGCGTGTCTGATTTCTCGTAGCTGCGGGAGAAGAGAAAGTGCCGCTCACTCCCTGGTTCAGCTTGCAGCTCAATGGCCTGTGCACCCGACTAAAAGCTCCACCACTAGCACTGTCCGGGGGGCACAGGCCCGACCAGCACTGCGGCCTAGAGACCCAGAGCCTGGCAGGTCCTCCTAAACCACAGAGCTCAGGCCCCCCCAAAGCCCTCCCACCAAGATGGTGCTGGTCTGGATCTTCCTCTGAGAACCTCCGAGGCCCCCTCACTGGGGCAGCAGAGGCAAGAGGTCCTGGCTGCCCGCCCGTGCTCACTAGCTGAGGGCCAGGCTGCAGTCCCCGCTGGCCTCCAGGTGCCGGGCGTAATTGTAGTAGGTGGTGCGCAGGTGCACGCGGTCGTGTCGCTCAGCCACCTCAATGGCCCTCTGCCACTGGCCCTCTGCCTGCAGGAGCCTATTGAGGAGGTCGTAGCGCCCGCATTTCTTGTACAGATGCTCCGCATCCTCCTGAGGGAAGGAAGTGTGCCTGTTGGCGCCGACGATGCCCCCAACGGCAGCCAAAAGTCACCAGGGATCCACCGTGGCAGGCGGCAGGGCAGCCAGGCCATCAACCCGCCCACGACTGAGACCACAACACACCCTGGGTGGGATGGACACTTTGGGGCCTGGGCGGGGATGGTCAAGACGACACTGGAGAGGGCAGGCCTGCCCGTCAGCCAGTGGGTCTGAGCTCCACCCAGACCCCATCAGACCTGTGGGTGTCTGCTCCCGACTGTCCCCAGCCCGACAGTGAGCTGTGCCCGGCCACTCGGCCTGCATCTCCTGCGACTTCCATCGGCCTCTCTGGGCCACAGGGGTACAAGGGGCCGTGAGCTCCGCAAACACGCAGGAGGCAGGGAGGGGACCGGCGTGGAGTGGGGTGGCCTCGGGGGCTCTGCAGGGGGCTTCCTCCCCCCCACCCCCATTTTGGCCTCAGCTTGTTTGAGGGGGTTTCTGTTTCCTGCAACCCAAGGGCCCGGACAAGCACACACTGTGTGTGGGAGGCTGGCCTGCCCATCGGGGTGGGGCCCACTCACCAGCATGCCCAGCTGTATGGCCAACACGGCCACCCTGGCCTCTGGCTCTGGCTCCTGCTCAGCCTCCCGCAGCGCTCGGGCTCCGCGCGCGTGGCCCATGTGCCCCAGGCACACCTTGGCAACATCCAGCCGCTGAGTCTTCACGCACATGCGCGCCATGTTCTCCCAGACAGCCTCGCTGCAGTGAAGGACACGTGGCTCCAATGAGCTGCCGCTCCCATGACTCGGGCCCCAGCAAGACCCGTGCCAGGCAGCACGGGGACCCAGCTGGACACATGGTCTCCGAGAAGGGGGCCATGTGCGAGCCCAACAGCTTCACCCACAGAGCAACGTGGCAAACTGGGACCCACATGGCCTCCCGGGAAGAAAACGGGTGAGACACCTGTGTCCCAGGGGTGCAGGGGCTGGTGTACCTCTCACGGCTGGCCCTGGGGCCTGCTCCTTGAGCAGGCTCCCTCCCTCGGCCACAAGGGGTCCCGTGAAGATCCCGGAGAGTGTCTTGTGCAGGCTGCCAGGCCCCACCGTGCCCCTCAGTGAACACTTGCTTCTCCCCCCCGGCACCTGGCACCTCTGTCCCAGGCTGAACTCCTAGTGCTCCCTCCACCCTCACACAGAGCCCCTGGGTCAGGCGGGGAGTGGGGTCCCCCAACTCCAAGGACAAGCATGACACCCAGGTGGGCCTTGCCATGTGCTGAATGGAGGCGGGGGGCCCGGGGGCGGACCTGCAGAGCTGCCCTCTGACACCCCTGGCACAGGCTTGGGCCAGGCTCTTCCTTCCTTGTTTGGAGGTTTCTAGCATCTCTCTCCCTCCAATGCTGATGGGGGCTCCTGCCCGTCCCCTAGCAGGTCCCAGGACAACCTCAGACCCAGGACGGCCTCCCTGAGAAAAGATGCTGGCAGGAGGGAGGATGCCCTGGGGCCCCTCCTCCTGGGGCTTCATCCCCTGATGACCCCAGAGCCCTGAGAACAGACCAGTAAGTAACTTCTGGGATGCGAGCGGCTGGTGGCCCTCAGGATGCGTGAGTCACTGCGGACTCCACCCGTCCGTTCTCAAGGAGCCCCTGGGCGAGCAGCGTGGAAGCAGGGTGCCAGCCACTCCCGACAGCCTTTCCGTGGGCAGCTTTACCCCATGTGAGTCCTGGGGTCTGTGCATCCAACCGAAAGTCCACGTGGACACCCGCCTAGTCCCCGCCAGAGCCGTGAGCGCTTCCTGCTGTCTGGTAGCGTCTGCACCCTGTCAAGTGAGGGGCAGATGGGCTCCGAGCGGCCCGATGCTTGGGAAAGACTTGTCCTCTGAGAAGCTCCCAGAGCGAGCCACAGGACCCTCCTCTTGGGCTGCTCTGTGGAGACCCTGGTGGGACGGAGCAGTGGTTGACTACTCCCAGCTTCACGTCCCACCAAGCGGCACACACGCTGTGTCCAAACCTCCTGTGTGTCTCTGCTCTAAGACAACACTGCTGCTGGTCCGCGTGAAGGAGCAGGGGAGGCCTTGACAGGGCCAAAGACCTGGACCGCGGAGAACAGGAAGGGGCCCTGGGGTGGCACACGATGGATGAGGGGGTCCTTGGAGGACTCGGTCATCCCGACTCAAGGTCTGCTCCCAGGCCGGCCACCCTCCCCCTCCCCAGCCCAGCTGTCCACTCCACCCAAGCCCGAGGCTGGGGGCTGGTCCGATAGGAGCCCCAGCAGGTGGCCCGGCCTGCTCCCCGCCCAGCCTGGGAGAGAGCTGGATGGCTCAAGGGCTGTTCCCAGGACAAGCAAAGCAGGGGCTACAGTTCCTGAAACCCCCTGCTTGCTTTTCAACGGAAATTAGCCACTTAAAGACTGGCTCAGGATAAGCGATTCTAATGAGTAAGGAGGGAAATCAACGCTCTTTTAATGGAAACTTTGAGGAAAACTTCCTTTTCGAGGCGATCTACTGCACTGTGTGCACAGGAGCCCCAGCCCTAGTCCTCAGAGTGGGTGCCCTCCCACAGGGTCTTCTGAGCTGACAGACCCCCAGATGCCTCCCCACCCACAGAGCGGCTGGAGTGAGAGCAGGGGGAGCAGGGGGGCAACCCCGCTTCTGGCACAGCCGAGGGAAGAGGGAAAGTGGCAAGAACTCAGCTGACACGTTTGCTACAAGCTCTGGTGGGAAAAATCCAAAGGACATAAAATTCCTCCGGGAGCTGATGGACAGATGTTTCTTGAGAACCTTGATTCTCCAAAGACCCTCTGCCTTTTAGGAATGTAAACTTGGGGCGGGAACTTCCAGGGCCGACCAGTTTGGTTTCAGCACAGGCCCAGGCTGAATGAGTCGCAGCCCAGAGGATTTGAGCAGAGCAGATGACTATCTCTCTGAGCGCCCCTCAGCCTGACGGCTTATGCGACACAGGGCAGGGCACCCAGTGCAGGACCTGGGCCCTTGCTGCCCACACACACCCCGTCAGCAGCAGACAGGGCCCAGGCCCTCAGGCCTCGCCGGGTGCACGGCTCGTCCAGAACCCAGCCTCTTGCACCTCAAGGACGATGGCCTGTTCTGGCGGGTCTCCAAGTATGGGTGAGGGTCTCAGCTGGGAGGTGGAGGAGTCCAGGGGGCCTCCCCACCACACTGGCCCTTCTCTGCTGCGCACCTATGGGTGCGTGGCACCCATATGCTGGGGGAGTGACCGATGGCTAGGGGACGCCCAGTCCCCAAGGTGGGCGACTGGTCACCAGCGCCCTGCCTGCCCCGAGCCACCAGGTCGAGACAGACAGCGGGGCCTGTGGGCCTGCCAGGCCGGCATCCCTGGCCTCCACTTTCAGGGAAGGTGGGGAGGGCGGGGGAGGGTCCCGGAGCAGGCCTCCAGAAGAAGGCCCCCCTGCCTTTCCTATCAGGAAACACATCCTGTTAGTGTCTGGCTGCTATTTGTTGCAGTTGGCTACGCCCTCCAGCTCACCAAAAACAGCCTCAAAAACAACCATTTCCTCTCTGCTGAGAGACAGGGGGAAAACGCAGGCGCGAGGCACACACACACTCACTCACACACGCACGCGCATCCCTGCAGCAACCCGTTTGCTTTCCAGGACCAGCTGTTGGGTGGCGGAGGCACCGGGAAGGGGCTCAGGCAGCGGAGGCCCCAGTGGCTCACTTGCGCTGCTCCCAGCGGCCCTGCTCAGAGCCCTGCTCCGCACTCGTCCTGAGAGTGAGGCCCAGGCACCCCGCGTTGCTGCCTGCCTTGCAAGTGATTTCTGTTCTCTTCGCCTCCTCCTCCTCCCAGGAAGACGGCGCGCTCACGACTCTGGACTCTCGCTGGTGCCCCTGCTTCCTCCCCGGGATGGGCAGCTCGGAAGGCTTCAGCTCAGGCCTGGCCCTGCTCCAGGTGCAGGAAGGAGGGTAAGGAGGGCCGCGAGGCGGGCGCCCCCGCACCTGTCGCATGGGCCTTCCTGACACCTCCAAGCATGAGCGGTGATGTCCTCTAGCCACCCCTGGTGACAGCAGCTGACCGACTGGGACTGGGACTTTCTCCACGACAAGGGGACGGCACCGCAGTCCGCAATGACTGTCCAGAAAGTGGTGGCCACGGCCGTGCTGGTGGCCCTCGTCTCTCTCATTCTCAACAACGCGGCGGCCTTCACCCCCAACTGGGTGTACCAGACGCTGGAGGACGGGCGCAGGCGGAGCGTGGGGCTGTGGCGGTCCTGCTGGCTGGACAGGGCCAGGGGAGGGCCAAGCCCGGGGGCCAGGCCCGGGCAGGCGGACGCGCGGGACTGCGAGGCCCTGGGCTGGGGCTCCGAGGCGGCGGGCTTCCAGGAGTCGCGAGGCACCGTCAAACGTAAGTCTGCTTATTTTCCTTCCTCCTTTAAAGCGGCTGTGGATGCAGGCACATCTGCTGACGGGTGATGGGTGCTCTGCTCACAGGGGCAACCTTGGCTCTTGGGGACCCAAGCGAGCCCCAAGCTCCAAGCCCACCCTGCTCCGGCCCCTTTGGTACAGAATTCTTCCTGTGCAGGAGGGGGCTTTCTCTCTGCCGTCATGCATAGCTACAGTACGGATACATTAACCAAAGCAAGGAAAATATGTTTTTCCTGGTGGAAAATAAAGATTGTTAATGAGTAAAATAAACAAGAAGCTTAAAAACATGCGGCTGGGTTTGGACTTCATTCCACAGTTGTCAGGGTCGTTAATGCAGTGGGCAGCATAGAGGGAGACGCTCCAGGAACCGCCTGTAGGTGGGATGCCCAGGAGAGACTGGGAGACTGATGGCCTTCAGAGGGCAGAGAAGAGCTGACTCCTGCGAGCAGGGGCCTGGCTCCCTTCTGCCCAGTGGTCCTGTCTGGTTTGTCACATCCGGCACAGGGTCCATTACAGCTCTGAAAGGTGGGAACTTGACTTTGAAAGGGGGGTAGGGTTTGAGTGTACGGGAAGGAAGGTTCATAAATATGAAAACGCTTGTCACCTAATGTGTAGACACATGGCAACAGCAGCCGATGGGCAAAGGTCTCCCCAGTGACGACCCTTTAAAACTGCAGACAAGAGTCTAACATGTAGACCACATCACCTGTTCTGAATACACCACTTGTCCTTAGGAAAACGTGGCTCTGGCCAGGCCTCTGCTGGCTGCTCCAGAGGGCACGCCTCACTCAACTCAGGCGTGATGGCCCTCAGAATCCTGACCCACGAGGGAATGGGAGTGGGGGGATGTTGCCTCCACTTCACAGGCAAAGAGACTGAGGCTGCAGGAGGCGTGTGGCTCCATTCAGGTCCCCGAGGGGATGTGAACCCGTCTTTGCACGTGGACCCCCTCGCAGCACAGCCTGGGGGTGTCTTTCATCGGGAGTGGCTGGCTTGCCAGCCCGCCCCCACCCTTTGCAAGCAGAGAGCCACAACCTCCCTTAAAAAGGGCGGGGCTTCCCTGGTGGCACAGTGGTTGAGAGTCCGCCTGCCGATGCAGGGGACACGGGTTTGTGCCCCGGTCCGGGAAGATCCCACATGCCGCGGAGCGGCTGGTCCCATGAGCCATGGCCGCTGAGCCTGCGCGTCCGGAGCCTGCCTGTCCTCCGCAATGGGAGAGGCCACAACAGTGAGAGGCCCACGTACCGCAAAAAAACAAAACAAAACAAACAAAAAAGGGCGAAGAGCCTGAATGAATCAATGAGCTTCTGTGAGCTCTCAGATCAGGGGCCTGTGGGGGGCTGGGTAGGTCAGCTGAACTTGGGTCGCTGTGACCTGCCGGTCAGACTGGTCCCTCTGGGCTCTAGGTCTGTCCTGAGGAGCAGTGAAAGCCAGTGACTGGGGCTCTAGCGTGGGCTCCGCGCAGGCCACGCCTCTCCCACCCCACAAGTGCACTGCACGCCCCCCACCCCGGGGGGAGGCCCCACGTCAGCCCAGCCCCTGCCCTGGGCTCAAGGCCTCCAATGCCGCACAGGTGCCCCCTCCGGGCATCCGTCCCCCCCGCCCCCTTGTTGAGCCGCGTCGCGTCAGGTCAGGCCAGGAAGACACAGGCCGGGACGCTCTCTGCCTCCAGACCGCACAGCCACCCTGCTGCATGTCCCGAGCGCACCGCTCACCTGCCCTCGTTTGCTGTCCCTCCCTGACCACCTGATAAGTCCCCTGAACAACTTTTAAAACATCCTCCTGCCATAACACGGCATTTGTGGCAGCTGACCTTTAATGATGCCCTGAGCATCAGAGGTTTTCCCAGAACAAGGGAAATGTCTTTGGAGCTTCTCGTGAACGAGGCTGAGACCAGGGAGAGGGGCTGGCAGATGTCTCACCAACTCCCAGGGACGGAGCACTGCTGCCCCGGGGGTTCCGGAGCTGGGGGCTTCTGGCCTGGTTTCTGGGCTGCCCCCTTCAATCAAACCAGCTCCCAGCCTCATCAGCTCTCATGCAAAACCTCAGCCCAGGCTTTGCCCCCGATGGTCTAGCCTCCAGCCAGGCTAGGGACAGGGAGAAGGAATGGGTGGCCTCGACCATGGAATCACCTCCGTCTGTCCATCCCGAGCCCCGTGTGGGGGTACCGAGGGGGCGAGACTCGTGTTGCTTCACCCTAGAATTCCAGACATGATGCAGGTGGCCAGGGCAGCTCTCAGGGACAGCAGCCATGCTCCTGCCGGCTCTGTGCCCAAGTCCTGGCAGAGCCCGCAGAGCTGAGCCAGAGCCACTTGGCACATTGGGCCAACACCACCGTCCCCCAACGTAACAAGCTCTAGTGAGGGTGTCCCGAGCATGCTGGGTCAGGGGACGACCCTGGGTCAGGCCCTCCAGCTGCCCCCATGTCACGCCAGGTCCCGTCCTCGAGGACAAGGCCCTTCCCCACGCTGGCTCACTGGGCGTGTGCGGCGGCTGTGATTTTTTGTTACTCATCAGGTGGGGGCCTGGAGGTACCTCACAGCCCAGGACGGGGTCAGTCTTGCTTTCTGGCCCCCGTTCTCTCTGCCACTTTTCATCTCTCTAAGTTTTGTGTATTCTGTCGGGCACCTGTGTCCTTGCCCTGAAGCCAGGGGGGATGTGAATAAACACGTAATTAAATCTCCTGGGGTGACCGCTGCTGTCTCCTGGGAGGCAGCCTCACAGGGCACTGGGGTGGGAAGGGGCACAGCGACTGTCCAGCCAGCAGACACTCACGGCCACGTTCTCATGGCTCCTCAAAGCCCAGTGCTGCTGCCCAGGCCGTGCACACAGCAAGTGTGAGGACCCGTCAAACGTCCAGGCTTGGTGGGTGCTAGTGAGGACTGGTCCCCTCTGGGTGGCTGGGAAAGGGGGCATGGCCAAGGGGAGAGTCCGCCACCTCAGCCTTTACAGCCTCGGGCAACTGGGTACTAGGCAGCGGCCCAGCTCGAATGCTTGGAGGGTGGATTGCTGCCAGGGTGTGTGGCATGGGCCTGAGTGCTCAGAGCCGCTGGGGCCACCGGGAGGGCAGGGCCTCGTGGTGCCAGCACCAACACACTGCAGCGCAGACACTCCCGGCATGGCCAGCCCGTTGGTGCACGTCTTTCCTTGCCTGTGAGGCTGGGCCCCGGAACCGGAAGGACATTCCTGGGCCCAGAATGGATCCAGGTTCTGCCCTGTGTTGTGAACACCCATCACGTTTTAACAGCCCTCATCTCTGAGGCCACCTCCACTTCCAAACTCTATGACCTCTTAGAGTAGCAGGACCTTCTGTACGGGCGTTTGAAGGGTAAAAATTGTTGCAAAGAAAACAGCGTGAAAAAGGCAGGAAGAGTGTGATGAACAGCAGCCTCCATGGGAAGCTAGCTGGTGTTCCAGAGTCTGTGGCCCGAGTAACTGGACCCCCGTGCTGACAGAGGAGCCGCGTGTCCTCCTGCTCCCACGTGTGGTCACGGGGACGCGAGACCTCATGAGCAGCCAGGAAGGTTTCTGTAAATCTCGAGCGCTAGCAGCCCTGCCGCCCCAGCCTTGGGGGAGAGGAGGGGTCTGAGCCTGTGTGCGGGGAGCCCACTTTGTTCTCCGGCCCAGCCTCTGTCCTTTCTTCGAGTTGCTCCGGAGCTGCTGCCACACCACTGCCAGAAGCCCTGCGCTCACCAGGCTGCACCGCCCACCCCCGGCTCCTCATCTCCCTGAGTTTTAAAGGGTCAGGGTTCCCAGCGACTGCAGCTATGCTTTGTGGTAACTTTGAAGACTACAGAACCCAGAACGTGAGCGCTCGGTCACCCGGCAGTGAGGTCCACGGAGCATGTGCGGCCGCGCAAGGAGCAGGCGAGAGTGTCACAGGCAGCGTCAAGCCCTGGCAGAGGCGCCGTCCGTCCATCTGTCTGCCTGGGAATGCTCCTTGGCCCTCAGTGCCAGGCTCTCCTTCCAGAAGCCCTCTGCCCCTCCACCCTCAGGGCTGCTCTGACTTCGCAGCAGCCCGAGGCTCCTGCACCACAGTCCAGAGCCAGGCCTGGGATCTGGGAAGGGTGAAACCCCTCAAGCTCCGGACAGCAGGAGGGAGGCCAGCGGGAAGCAGCAGGTCGAGACCCCTGGGCAGGAGGAGCTGACCCTCCGTGGCAGGAAGCGGCACAACGCCCCCACGAGACTCTGGACTCCACAAGCGCTAAATGTGAATGCCACCTGCCCGCAGAGCATGAATCAGACAGCGCTGCACTTGAAGCCTGGGGGGCGGGGGGCACTTTTACAGCATGGAAGGACCACAGGGAAGGGGCCTGACTTCACGGTGGATGGCTTTGCCCTCCAGCACATGGGTGGGAAAATTGACTCCCCTGATGGCTTCTTGATGACACCTCCATGGCCCCCACCTTTGCAGTCCAAGCATTGGGCTGCCCCATCCTCCTTCTGCCCTGTGTGCACAGCCTCCAAATGCCTTGCTCAGGGACCAGGGGCAGGTGGGGGCTGGGAAGGGAGTGGTGAGACTCGCTGAGACGGAGGGAGGAGTCCCGGGAGGGGCAGGCAGCCCAGTCTCGAGCGGTCTCGCCCGTGCTGACCGCCTGCTTCTCTCCCTCCGGCCCCTCACAGTGCAGTTCGACATGATGCGAGCCTGCAACCTGGTGGCCACGGCGGCACTTGCCGCAGGCCAGCTCACCTTCGTCTTGGGGCTGACGGGCCTGCCCCTGATGTCACCCGATTCCCAGTGCTGGGAGGAGGCCATGGCCGCTGCGTTCCAGCTGGCAAGTAAGTATCCTCACCCGGGTCCCGGCCAGGCTGAGCAGCCGCATCCCCAGCTCCTGTCAGGGCTGGCAGGTTGGCTGTGGCTTCTAAAGTCATGGTGACCCCTGTGGGTCACGCTCCCACCCCACCCGTCACTGTGGGCAGCAGCAAAACAGAAATACACACAGGGGCGGAGCACTGAGGTGCAACCAGATGGGTTTCTGTCTGTTTGCTCAAGGCCTCCTGGCCCTTCCCATCTAAGACAAGGTGCCGAGGCTCACGGTGACCTGCTTTGCTTTCCAAAGTCTTCGGCATCTGGTGTGTTCTTTGCCCCTCTGTAGCCTGTGTGGCAGGCAGCCTGGGTTCACGCTCCTCCCATGAGGGTGCAGCAGCCTGCTGCAGGCACTTGGGCACATGGGCAGAGGGGGGCGCCCTTCTGACCCCTTGCCTGCCTCCATGGCCTTCCTGGCTAACGGTTAGCAGACGGGGAGTTCTGGGCACACATGGTTCCCAGCCGGCGACCTGCATGCTCGGTTATAAATGCAGCTTCCTGGGGCCCGGCTGGGGTGAGCAGGGCCCTCCTGTAAGAAGCACAGACAAAGCGTGGAGGACCCCGCCAAGCACACAGGGACGCACATGCAACACTAGGGCCAGAAAAGCGTGATGGGGGCAGTGTGGAGGAGAGCAGCGAGGCTTTGGCCATCAGCAAACAATCCAGAAGCCACCTCGGCCTCTGGGGGCGACTGCAGGCTGAAATGGGGCAGGGCCTGGGCACACTGTAGTCTTCACAGGGCGAGTGCAGCAGCGCCGTGGATGATCAATGGAACTGTTCCAGGAGGCTCTGCACAATGACCACGGAAGCCCCAAAGCGTCCACCCGGCACCCCAGAGAGCGGAGGGGCGTCTGTGCTGGTTTCCCCTCTCCCTCTGCCTGCCTCACTGGCCCAGGTTTAATGATCACGGGAACCTGGGAGCTCAGGTTTCCTGCTGCCTATGGGGAAGGTCAGATGGGTGGCTGATGGGACAGAGGAAGGGCCAGGACATCACCAGCCCACCGCCTGCCTCTCCGGCTCGGTGGAGAAGGCAGTGTCCCAACCATGAGGGTGCAGTTTCAACACACGCGGCGGGAGGAACGGCAGGAAATACGAGTGAATCACTTGGGGAATAATGGATCCTGGCCCTCATCGTCCTGGAGAAACACAATTTCCAGAATGCAGCTGACAGGCTGGCAGCACTCATGCTGGAAAGTGCCGGGTGGGACTCGGAAACAGGCCCTGTTCACAGAAGGCCAGTCACTTCCCTGTGGCCGGGCAGGACGGAGGGCGTCGCCAAGGCCTAGGAAAGAGCGCAGGCTTTGATGTCAGGAGAACAGAACTGTGTCCGGCCCTACGGCTTACCAGCCATGTGAACGGGGCAAAGCCACACCTCAGTTCACCCAACTGCAAAATGGGGTAATGCCCACCCTGCCTGGGGCAATTCTGAGAGTTAACCAGGTACATGAAGCGGGACCTCGGACCTCCACCTCCTCCCTCCTCTAGGACTGTGAGGAAAAACACGGACATTCCAATGCCACACATGTAGGAAAATCACCCACCTGCCCTCTGCTGACCTTAGGGCTGTAAATCAAGCAGTTTCCTCGCCTCACTGAAACCACCCACCTCTCTCACGTGGGATCATCTGAAATTCCATCCCTTCAAGAAGGAAGTGGAAGATTTTGCAACGTGATTGGAAAAGCTGGATTAGAAACAGATATTTTAGTGGCATTAAAGGAATAAAAGTAACAGCTCTTGATTCTGAAAGTAACTCCTCCTAGCAGGATGATCAAATCTGTCATTGCATTTCTTAAGAAACTTCTTTGAGACACTTATTCAGAATTATTAGAAAAAATATTGTGGGTTTGGTGTCAAAACTGACGTCTTACTTTCTGTAAACTCTTGTTTCAGAACAAAATATTGTTTCCAAATAACACAACAAAAAAATGGAAACGGGAACCCCCATTAACTAAAATCAAACTGTCTTGCATCAGTCGATGGGGGTTGGGGGGCACTGCCAAAGGTCTGGGGGTCAGGGGCTGTCCTGGCCAAGTGGGGGCTGGGGGCACATGCTGCTTTCCTGAGTATTTCCAGGCCAGCACAGCCTCTGGAAAGGTTGGACTAGGTTCTGTCCAAAAACCATCAGACAGGCAGAGGCCCACGGAAAAAGCCAGAAGCCCCGAGCAGCACCTGTGGCACTTCAGATGGTCCCTCTGCCTCCGCAGGCCCCCTCTCCCCGTGGTGTCCGACGGTTACCCCCAGTGGGTCTGCTGTGCCCAAAAAGGAAATGCATTTGGCCCTGTTTAGACTTGTTTCATTGACAAACAGTACAGAACATAGCTCTGTGCCTTTCTTCTATCACACTGCTAATTTTAGAGTTAGGTTTTTTCCTGTGCTCTGGTCTGTTTTAAACAGTCAGGGAGAGACTGAAGGGCGCCAGGATATCCTGTCCCAGGAGGGGGAAATGCCTGCTGGTACCTGTTATGCAAGGGAACCTTGAGTCCCCAGTGCTGGGGCCAGAGGGTGGGCGGGGGGAGAGAGGTGCTCGTGAAGGGGGGAAGCACACGGATTCCCCGGGAGGCCGGGACCAGCCGGAGAGCAACACCCCAGCGGGAGGAGACAGGAGGCCGGCCGCTTGCCCATTCATCCCACGGCCGTTTCTGGCCGTTTCCACCACGCTTGCGTGATGCCCAGCCCGGGTCTGTGAAAGGGCGGCCCCCGCTTCTCAGGGCTGTGGCTCCAAAGGACGCTGTCCCAGACACCAGGGAGAACCCAGGAAACGCTGCTCTTGCAGGGCAACAGCGTGACTACCAACCGTTTCACCGGGTTTGCTCTACTGAACTCAGGCCACCGCATGCAATAGTTTGCAATTTCTTTGCAGAATTTTCCGAGTGTGATTTTAATTTACCTTAAAGTTGAAAAAAGTCCTTTCAGTCCCTTATTCCACCCCCACCCATAAGCTGAACACCCTGTGAAAGCACTGTGTTCGCTGGGGTCACAGCAGCTGTCCACCAGCCCCAGCCTGGCCCACCCCCCCTCAGACCCAGCAGGACGATTTCAAGAGCGGCATTTCGTGGACCCTGTGGGCTTCACATCTGCAGGCTTTCTCTCTCCACTTCTGGAAATCCTAAGACTTTTTCTTATGATGAAAAACTTACACCCTAAGGGCCGCTTACTCCGCGCCGTGAGAAGGCTGACTTTATCGTCCCAAAGGTCAGTCGGGGTGATGCACGGTGTCTGTCTTGTCAACTTGTGAGCTGGTGGAGATCATGCTGTTCTCACAAACCTGCTCATAGGAACGTACCACTTTCTGTGCTTTACTATAAAGCAGCACTTGGCTTGGGCCAGACACTTCGCTTTCCTGTCTTCTGAGCCCACTTCCCAAGCCCAGTCCTGCCCCCGCACCCTGGGGAGAGTGTCACCTTCTCCTTCCCTAGACTCTCTCCCTAAGGGGGAGGCACTTGTCCCCACCTTCTGCTGCTCACAGCTGAGCCTCGAGTGCTCTGTACATGTTCCAGGGCCTTGGCCAGCGCTGCCCTGTGGATGCTGAGGCAGGTGTGATGCTTGAGGGCTCAGGGCTCAGCCACATGGTCTTCCCACCTGTGGGCCCTGCGTGTGCTTGATGGCCACTCCAGAGGAAGGCCTGTGACCGCCAGTGGAGCCCTGGGAAGCCGGCAGGAAGGAATAGAGGAGAGGGCGCTGTGAACCACAGCGCCACAGCCGCCGGCTCACAGAAAGGGACTATTTGCTTTGGAAACAACAAGTTCATGAGGACGGAATTGACTCCACGTGCAGAAGTCCGTGCATTTGCTAAAAACTCTCCCCTTAGATTCGTTTCTGTACAAACAGCGATGTCACTGAAAAATTCAGGAGAAAGGGGACCTGAACGTCAGGAGAATGGAGAAACTGCACTTCAGGCTGGCGGTGGCGAGAGAAACTTATCAAAGTAAAAGGCCAGTTTGATTTCAGGAGGATGTGCCCACACGGCCAGCGCAGGCAGCCGTTACCTCTCTGCGTCTCTGTGGCTTTCCGCCATTGCCGCGTGGCACACGCTTGGTCCCCACATCCCATGCATCTGCTCAGGCCACACCGCCCCCACTGGCCCAGGGCAGAGTCCACGTGTCCCTGAGCCAGCCCCACTGTGACATCCACCCACGGCCCAGCCCCTGGGCCCACTGTTCCAGTCAGTTCTTTGTATTTTCCTACTGCAGGAATAAATGTATTTTTTTTTATGTTAGGGAAGCATATCCCTTCTCTGACTGTACGTGTTCCAAGTTGAACTAAGATAAAGCAAAAGGGCTTCCCTGGTCACGCAGTGGTTGAGAGTCCGCCTGCCGATGCAGCGGACACGGGTTCGTGCCCCAGTCCGGGAAGATCCCACATGCTGCAGAGCAGCTGGGCCCGTGAGCCATAGCCGCTGAGCCTGCGCGTCTGGAGCCTGTGCTCCGCAACGGGAGAGGCCACAACAGTGAGAGGCCCGCGTACCGCAAAAAAAAAAAAAAAAAAGTCCCTCCAAGAGGCTCCGCGCTCCCCCAGCCTGTCACCCCCACCACTCTTCCTGCTGGTTTTGCAGACGTGGGTGGCTGTGCCCGGCTGTGCCCGGCTGTGCCCGGCTGTCTGTTCACATGTGAATTCATACTTCTTTCATCTTGTGACATAAGAAAGAGTCTTCTCCATTGTAGGCCGTACAGCTGAACATACGGAGGAAGTTAATAAGCTGAGTAAAACGGCAACAAAGCAACAGCCTGCCCCGTTTCCAAAAAAACGGACTATGTGATCTTAAGAACCATAGTAGCCCTGACGCTGGCAAGTGGGTGGGTGTTCCCCACCTGAAGGGAGCAGCGCCTCCCCCACCCTCACCCCCACAGCCCTCATCCTAAACAGGGGCGCCTGGATCAACAGGTGGGTGACTGCCCAACTGAGCGCTCAGGGGCCAGGACAGGAGGACGGGAGGCGCTCTCCCACCAGGCAGATGGAGCTCAGGATGGTGGTGCCAGGAAAGGCAGGGGGACCAGCACGCAGCGTGAGAAGACTCAAGGCCAGGCGTGTCTTGAGGGCTGGGAGACGCTAAAGCGTGTCCTCTACGGCCTCCACAGGGCGACCAGCGCAGCCGTGGGAACGTGGCAACGAGAGGCACGTGGCCAGAGTCGTGACACGCTTTAGGAAGTGCTTGTTAATAGAAGACTGTAAAGTTAGTTGCACTTCTAGAATATTCTAACTGCCTTACTATGAACCTTATGTACAAAGGACTCAGGAGACACACAAGTGACACCGAGAAGCCCATGTGCGCTGCCTCCAGCCCCGGTCAGTGGTGGCCGCCCGTTGGCTGGGCCTGTCTGAACCGAGCACAGAGCAGCTGTGTCTCCCCCGTGGCCCGTGGCCCAGCACCTCGTCTCCAAGGACGCGCATTTCAGATGCTCTGATGTGGGGTCCCGGTCATGTTTCCTGTGACCTGTGACAAGCAGGCTCTCATTCGGGCACAGTCCTGGGAGTGGGTTGCGAGTCCCAGGGCCATGTGTGTGCCCTGCTGGCATGCCCCGTGCTTTCCTCAGTCAGGCCCTGTCCAGGTCGGGGTCTCACAATTCCCAAGTCTCCACTGGACGGCCTTGCAGTAAATTCAAGGTCTTCTGTTCTCAGTGACGCAAACCAACCCCATGTCAGATAGCCGATGGCCCTGGAGGCTGTGCGGAAGCCCAGTTCCTTCGCCTGTTCCCTTCTGATGGACGACGCTGCAGATCTGTGCTGAGGCCAGGAGGCTGGTCCATGTGGCCTGTTGCTCCTCCGACCCCACTCCCCCGAGATCATCAAACCCCTTGGCTAGGTGGCCCAGGGAGCCCCACCCTCTGCTGTGGTGACCAGGGTGAGTCAATTTCTTGGAACCCAACATGCCTGAGGAGGACAAAGGCCCTCGGGGGCCCAGCGTGGTCCAGACAGGACTCCCAGCCCCTCCTGGACTTGTCTCGTCTCCTGCCCTGGGCTCTGGCCAGGCCGAACTGCCCGCTGCAGCCCCTCCACCTGCCCTGCACTGTGACATCTGCACATCTGTTCATGCTGGTCCCCCACTCCCTGTGGCCTCCTGGCTTTCCTCAGGAAACCAGATCATGTATGACCTGGTGTGGCCCCGGAGCAAAGGGCAGCAGTGATGCCCGCTGACGATTCTAATAGCTGTGTCATGACTTAGTGCTGGGGCACAGGCTGGAGTTTTCTAGAAACACAAGCATTCTGGAAGCATTTCTGCGCCTTCCAGAAAGTATGAATTAAACATTTAACTGCCCCGGTCGTGTCCTAAACAATGGTGATGGTGACTAATCCCTGTGCTAATTCTCTATGGTACTTTGTGGAGCTTTTTATACATGGAAAGCTTCTCGATACTTCCTTTCTGTTAAAAATAACTAATTCTGTTTGTCATGCACACTGGCAAAAAGAAACTTCTGGCATTCCTCTCTCCCAGCTAGGAGTACATACATCCTCTGCCCATGATTTTGTGCCACCCGAGTTTTGCGTTAGTGAGGGAAGGAGTTAGGACCTGTGTTTTGTGTAATGCAAATGAAAGTACTTTATGTGTTCCCTTGTTTTCACTATGTCTTTGGGCATTTTTTGCCAGCCAGGGAGCTTGTTGTGCCTTCTTTCAACAAGACTCAGAAGGACGGGGTGGGATGGGGCGATGGGAGCGAGGCCTCTGCCCCGTCCCAGCCATCAGGGGTTCCAGCCCAGATTCAGTGCCCTGTTAGCCTAGCTGACAGATCTTGGGTGCGAAATCCTGGTTTTCCTATTGTAAGAACTAATAAAATCAAGTCTTTGGAGCTCCTTAAAGATACAACTATGGAAATGACGATGTGACGGTATTAACAGCTGACCGAGAGGGGACATGGCCGACTTAACTGAGTCCACACAGGACGCTGTGCACAGTCCTGGACCCCCCCGTGTCACCTGGAGAGAGGAGGGGACGGAGGGAGACCTGCAGGGGACCGGGTGGGTGAGGGGGACATTCTAGAACCAGCCGAGTCTATTCAGCCACAGTTCAGCTCCCCCCCCACTCCCCCCACCCCGAATGTGCAGGCCCTCCGTCTCAGGTTTTGAAAGAAAATATTTCCTCTGGAAGCAAACACTAAGAATAAGAAAACTCTTAAAAACAGGAATTCAAACTAAGTTAAATACAAATCTGAGTTGTTTCCAGGTAAGACTTAGAAAATATCTGCGTTTGCTTTCACTTTGAATGAATTAGGCGTTTATAAGCCAGAGCGGACCTTCCACGGAGTTACCGCTGGACTGTTCGGGGTGGGGAAGTGGGTGTCAGTGTCACCTCCATGGGGAGGGCGGCCAAGGAAGTGGCCTGACACCTGCCAGGTCACAGGAAGCACGTGAGCCCCTATGACCATCCAGGGTCAGGATTGAGCAGACAGCCCCCGCAACAGCCACCAGACCCAAAAGTCCCATAAAATTCAGCTTGACCCCAAGGCACCAGCACCGAGTGGAGCGGGGCTCTCAGCCCCAGGAGGACAGGGTTGGGTGGGAGGAGAAGCAGGAGCGGCCCACGGCTGGACCCGCGGCCTCCCCCGCTCCCTGTCTCACCCTGTCCTTCGTCCGCAGGTTTTGTTCTGGTCATCGGGCTGGTGACGTTCTACAGAATCGGCCCGTACACCAACCTGTCCTGGTCTTGCTACCTGAACATCGGGGCCTGCCTGCTGGCCACCCTGGCTGCGGCCATGCTCATCTGGAACGTCCTGCACAGGAGGGAGGACTGCATGGCCCCCCGCGTCATCGTCATCAGCCGCTCCCTGACTGCACGCTTCCGCCGCGGGCTGGACAATGACTACGTGGAGTCGCCGTGCTGAGGGCGGCGGGAGGCCGCTCGGGGCTCCGTCCACCGCAGGGACCATCTGAGAAGCAGGGCGCTGCCTGCGCGGCTTCCCATGAGAGCACATGTATGACACGCATTCACTACGTTATACACGAACACAGGGCGTGACCACATACTGGCTGCGTCCCACCCCCACCCCCACCCCCAACCCCGCCACAGCCCACTTCACGCTCGCGCACGTCCTGTCCTGGAGACCAGCTCCGGAGAGGCACGTCCGGGATGGCAGCCACCTCGCTCTCTGCCCTGGCCCAGGAGTAATTTATTCTGTATCTGCCAAGAGGGGCGTCCTGGGTCATATTTACTTTGATAAAGCAGAACACAGGGAATAGTTCTGAACTGTCCGTGATCTTCCTCCAGGGACTCAGAATTTACAGTCAGATGGTTACGGCTTTACAACAGGACTGTGTTAGTGATGTCCATTTACTCCTGATTATCTTCCTAAGTTAAAATAAAACACAAACCTCTTACCACGGTTTAAAACTTGTGTTTATCCATTACACTGCCACGTGGTGAAGGAATATAGCTTATTCTTCTGTAGCTTTGTGGGTCAGCAGTCAGAGGAAGGGTTGACACATTTTACAGGCCAGGGGGCAGAGCGCTGGGGACCACTCATGGCTCACTCATGTTTCCGTTCAGAAGTCCCCGTTTCTACAGACCCTAAGCACTGGCCGGACAGCGGCAGGTCCACAGTTGGCACAGTATGAAGGAAAAAGTCTATTGGCTTAAAAAATTTCAGAGATTGATTCACTTTTTTCCCTAGAAAAGTCTTCAGTGCATCCAGCCAAACTTGGTGGGCTACAGAAGACCTTCCCAGCACCAGCCTGGTGCCAGCAGCCCTGGACCTGACTCCGTAGCAGGGACTAAGCCCCAGGCTGAACACAAGCACCTAAGAGCTGCCTCAGGGGCTCAAAACCAGCCCACGTCCCCTGGGACCGGGCTGGGTTGCCCGGCCACACCCGCAAGGACAGTCCCCCGAGAGCGCGCAGCTGCTTGTTCCCATGCCACGAAGCGCATCTTCCAGCCCAGGAAACGAGGGACAGTGGTGGGCACTGTGCAAAGTCCGTGGTCGTGGTGTGGGGGTGGTCACTGTCTGGCTGCTGCCCCCACGCTAGGCCAACCCTTTAAGAAACATTTAGCTTTGCTACCCAGACGATGTGCGGTGACCAGTCTGGAATTCGAAGGCCACGCTGCCCCAGAAATTTGTCTTTAGTCAGAGCAAGAGGTAGATCCGGTTGTTGCTTTAAAAAAACATAAAGCAACAGAGAATGACTTAAAGCACGTCTGGGCTGACCATGGATAGAAGCGCAGCTCAGGGCAGAGGTACAGTCGGCACATTAGGGGACCCAAAGGGCTGCCCTTCCTCCCCTGGGCACCTCAAGCTGTACAGTCTTAGCAGTGTTACATACACGACTACGTATACTGCATGGGCCATGTGCTTACCTATGGTCTGTGATAGAGTTCCTATGAAACGGATAGTGCCTCCAGCCACTCTTCACTTCCCTGATCAAAAGCCTCTTGCCCACCTGCAGCAGGGAAAAGCCCCTCTGCTGTGGACCAAGACCAGGTCTCAGGCTGCTTCTGGGTTACAGACCCATCACGCAGACGAGGGTTGCTGGGGTGCCCTATCTCCCGTCCTCCTCTTCCCACTTGAATTTCACCCTTCAATAGTTTTTCTACTCTTTGGCAATTAAAATCTGTCAAATGCTCCTGAGAAGCTCTGAATTCTCACAGGCACAGAGAGGAAGCTGCTTATAGGTAGCCCTTGATTGACAACTTAGAGCAATTTTAATTGCATTTTGCCTGCCGTTTTGAGAGTTTACTATCAAAACCTTTACTGTTTAGGGCTTCCCTCGTGGCACAGCGGTTAAGAATCTGCCTGCCAATGCAGGGGACACGGGTTCAAGCCCTGGTCCGGGAAGATCCCACATTCCGCAGAGCAACTAAGCCCTGCGTGCCACAACTACCGAGCCTGCACTCTAGAGCCTGCGAGCCACAACTCCTGAGCCTGTGTGCCACAACTACTGAAGCTCGGGTGCCTAGAGCCCATGCTCCGCAACAAGAGAAGCCACTGCAATGAGAAGCCTACGCACCGCAAGGAAAAGTAGCCCCCGTTCACCGCAACTAGAGAAAGCCTGTGCGCAGCAACGAAGACCCAACGCAGCCAAAAACAAAAAACAAAAAAAACTTTTCTGTTTAGTGCAATTATTCCTGGACAGACAGATGTTATAAATATTTAGCAACTGCAGAACTTTCAACTAGGAAGTGTCCACTGTAAAGTAAATCAAAACAACTAAATCACAGCCCACGAGACACCAAGCATTGCGAGGCCAGCCAGGTGCCCATATACAACAGGGTTTCCACCAGCACCAGCATCCCCTTGAGTGAAAACCCATGAGACACCAGGAACACCAAGAAGAGTCAGCGACGATGAGACTCATGGGGAGGGAAGAGACCCGAAGGAGGGTCACAGGGAGTTGGGTGCGGCACACCTCGCGAGCAGAACCCTCACCTTTTGATGAGCTTGATGGACCGGAAGGCTTCGTCCATGTCCCCGACAGCCAGGAAGAAGGTGAAGTTGAGCATGGCGTCCTGCGTGGGCTTGTCACAGTCTTCTAGCCCCACGAAGTCCCGCAGGGGCCTCCTGCCCACCGTCTGGGGGATGCGCTGGGACCCGGAGTCCACCTGGTCCTCGAGGTCCACTTCTCCCGGCTGAACGACAAAGGGCACTGTTTATTTGTGGATCCCTGTAAAGCCAGGGCCCACCCCGGGCCTCTCCCTGGGGGTACTCGTCAGCTGCGGGGACCCTCTGCACACAGACCCAATATTCAGCAATGCTCTCGGCAAACACAACGCACGTCCGCAGGCCCCCTGAAGTTACCAGAACTTGGGGCTCTGGCTTCAGACAGCGGGTGACGCAGGCTGTCAACGCACAGGGACCTGCCAGCCGCTAAGGCACTAACATCAGCTGCTCAACAGCCGTGAACAGGCATGAAAATCCCTACCTCCCAGGGCCATTTGTAAAATTCCTAGAAAGAGCTTTTACTATCAAGTCAGACCTGTGTACATGTGCAGAGGGTATTAAAATCGACGCCAGCATCACTGCAGGTAGAAGTTTCCAAAATGTAACCTGGATTAGTGGTGGTGAGCCCTCTGCTGGTGCTTCTCAGAACCTTCACCTAGTGCAGCCCACCCCCCACCCCTGCCACACCCCCAATGCAGGCAGAGGAAGGAAATCCTGTGGTCCCAGCACAAGCACAGTTTAGTGCACTGTCTGGACCATGCCTTCTGCACCAGCTCCAGCCACAAATCCTTCTCAAGTCCACTTCCCTCCTCCCAGCTAGACGGGGTTCCATGCCCTCCACTCACCCCTGGGCTGGATCCGCACACACACCCCTTGGTCTCCCACCTGGCTTGCTCTCTCTCTGCAGCGTCCATTCGTCTGATTACACAGGCTCCCCCGTGTAGAGAGTTCATGATCCATCTCCTTGGACCCCACTCCCCTACCCTGGCAGTTTCGTATCTGCTGTGACTCTGACTCCTTCACCACCTGCCTCTGACTCAGTTCCCAGAAGCTCCTGTGTCACGGATCCTTCTGAAGTTCAACTGTAGCCCCCAACTTTGGGGGCACTTGATCTGGGCCTTGAAACCCTGGTAGGATTTATCAGACCCAGGTGTGGACGGGGAGACCCTCCAGGCACAGAGCAGAGCATAAGCAGAGGCCAAGAGCAGCCCTGGTCAGGGTTTGTGGCCGAGTGGTGGGGTCACATCCGGCGGGAAGCTGAGTCCTCAAGTTTGGGCTGATTTTGCACTGAGTGGGAAACCTTCAGAAAACGTGGACACAAAAACCATGGGGGGTGGTACTTGCTGTCTGCTGTGGTGTCACAAATCACGAGACAGCAGCCTGACCTCCGTCAGCCTTGCTGTGGGTCTGATGCCCCGTCCTCATTAGAGCCCTGCTCCCCGCGAGCACATGCAGGAATTCTCACAGAAACAAGTGCACCCACGGTCACAGCTCACGGTGCCCCCTGCCTGCATTCACCTTGGGTTCTGCTCTCGAGGGGATGAGCCGCCTGCCCTGAACACATGTGGGAGCTGGGGGCCCAGGGCTGTTCGACTGACACCACACCCTTGAGTGTGCGGACAGGAACCTCGGGACGCCAGGCGCTTCAGGGAAATAGGCTGCGTAGGCCCCTCCTCTCCCGCACTGAGAGATCAAATGAATAAGACTTCCTGTGTTGCAAACACAGGTAAGTGAAATACTTCCTCACCGCAAGCATTAGGAGACAAGACTGTTCGTGCTGCCCCAACGAGGAGCTGATGCCCTGCCAGGCCCCTGACAAAGCTGGAGCATGTGAGGTGGGAGGTGTCAGGACACAGACAGCTGTCGCTTAAAACAAAGAAAACCACATCTTGGGGCAACTGCAAAGCTCAGGTAACAGGGAGGAGCATCACGCAGGCCTCTGCTGGGCCAACAGCTCCAAGTGGATGCTCGGGGGGGAAGAGAGCTGAGGGGCTGGCGGAGGGGAGGATGGTGCTCAGACTGAGGGAAACAAGCCCAGGCGTGAAGACGAGGGAGACGCCCAAGAGAAGGAGCTCAAAGGCTGTCTCTACGTTTTGAGTCTCAAATCAAAGAGAAATGAAAACGTATAAAAGCACTAAATAAGAATGAAATTCAGAAAAATGCTGGTCTGGAGGCACTGGTCTATTCAAAAGAGGAAACTCAGAAAACCTGCATGGACAGAGCGCAGGGGGTCCTGGAATCGAAACCACACAGCCTCACAAAGTTCACTGCAACGGATCACAAGTCGAAGTGCAGAAAAGACTATTCGCTGCTGACCTCGATGGCTGGGGATACTGTTCCCAGGGGCAACCCTGGCCTGTGGTCTCAGGGGGGCACGTTGCACGAGGGCTTCAGCACAGCCTGAGACCCACAGACCCACACGGCTCGCCCATGACAGTCACAGAACAAAGAGCAGAGAGCCCACCCTGGGCCTTCCTGCCAAACCTCTTCAGGTCAGTAATAACCCTGGGAGGGGCCCGGGGAGACCTGCGTCCTGGCTTCTGAGCAGACAGCCGTTCACACAGGCAAGGGGCCTCAGCTCTGGAGCTGGCAGAGATAGCCAAGCTCAGATGGCATGTCCACCATCTCTGGGGGTCCTCTGGGGTCTGCCCTTACCCCTGGCTAAAAAAAGAACACTTGCTAACGGCAAAAAATACAGAGTTCATGTTTAGGGTTGATTTTAAATCACCCTATGCTAAGAGCCAAAAAATATCCAAGTAAAAGTCTACATACTTCAGTCCTTCTTCTGACACAACAGTAAAGAAAGACGCGGCAGGGGAGCCCAAAGAGCTGACGACGGGGAGGAGTCTGCAGATTTTACGAGAATAGGAGCAGCAGCGGCCAGCACATTCACAGTCCTGCAGAACGGAAGGCACGAACGACAGGCTGCAGCCTTCAGGTCCCAGCGCAGCCGCGCCTCCTCTGTGCAGGCGGTGTTGGCGCCCGGCTGAGAACAGGTGGCTCAGCCAGTGTTTCAACTCGTCTGGACATTCCGCCACCCCTACCCCGCAGATGCACCCACCCCCGTGATCAGCACGGCATCTCAGGGCAGAGGATGGCTGATTTCAGGTCTAGGAGGGACCGTGGGGACGTGGAGACCAGGTTCCAGGGAAGGCAAATAACTCATCCAAAATACCCTTGTTGGCGGTGGGGGAGGGGGTGGGTGGTGTGTGCTGAAAACAACCCTGTTTGATCAAAAATTTAAAAACACACCCGTGGGACTTCCCTGGTGGTCCAGTGTTTGGGACTTCGCCTTCCAATGCGGGGGCGCGGGTTCGATCCCTGGTGGGAGAGCTAAGATCCCACATGCCTCAGGGCCAAAACACCAAAACATAAAACAGAAGCAACAGTGTAACAAATTCAGTGAAGACTTTAAAAACGGTCCACATCAAAAAAATAAATAAAAATAAAAAAAATAAAAACAACCAGTGTATGTAACACACACACACGTGGGCAAAGGACAAGACCTCTCCTGAAAGGCTGCCCGCCAGCCTTTCCTAGCAACCATCTCTGGGGGCTGCGACCACGGAGATTTGCAGCATCCTCGGTCTTTATTTCTTTATTTGAAGCTTCTGAATTTCCTACAGTGAATGTAGGAATACGTACTTTTAAAAAAACAGCTAGAATTTTTAAAAAGAAGACAGGAAAGTGGAAGGGTACGGTGCCTTTGGGGGACGCCGGAAGGGACAACCCTCAGCAGCACTGCTGCCTGCCTGCCTTTCCCCACACATAAACCTCGGATCTGCGGGAATCTCAGGCGACAAATCAGGGCACACGGTTTGCTTGTTTAACGGAAGAGCCCCGGTGGGGAGGAGGGCCTGAGACACGGCCGCACACATAGAGGCTCCCACCTTTCTCATGAAGTAATAATGGGGCACTTGGATTCCCAGGAGTGCCTGGAAGACGGGAGGCCGGAGGAAGCTGTCCTGCAACAGGAAGCCGTGCTCTTCAGAGACGAAGAAAGACAGGACCAGCACGTCTGCCTGCAGAGGGAGACGTTCTGTCTTAGTTTGGCAATAACTTTCCTGAATCTCGTCCAATCCCATTTTCACTGCTGGGATATTTACATAAAACACAAAGAAAGTAGAGGGGCCAACACATAGGCACACAGATAACCCCCTTCCTCCTCGGGGCACACAGCAACGACACCAGGCTCCACTATTCTCTGACGCCCCTCCTGGAGGACACACCTCGTCCGGCCTGGGAGCCACTAGACCCATCTCGCTGACCTTGTGGTGAAAACTAACCCTTCCACCCGCGCTGGTGAGTGAAGCTCAGGAGCTTCAAGAGTAGCCCCTTCAGTTTCTTGACTTTGACATGGAGACTCTGCTCTGCTCTCAGGCAGGGACAGTGGAGAGGCCGATGCTCGGCGGGACCCTGTCCTGCAGGACTCGGCCGCAGACCCTTCTGCCCAGGAGACGCGGAGGCCGAGGGGCTGGTGGCTGCCCTGCTCTGTGAGTGCCTGCGTCTCCTCACCAACTTCACCCAAGACCAGGAGCCCTTCGCCGGCCATGCCCCCACCCTCCAAGTGGGAGCAAGTGCCCCCAACTTGCTCGTCACTAGATCCTCTCTCTCATCTTCGAGTCTCCACTCCAGTGACACAGATGCCAACAGGGCCCCTCTCGCCACTCATGTTTCAGACCCAGAGACCGATTTGCTTCTGAAAACATCAGGGTGTGGAAACCCGCTGCTGGTAGCCTCAGGGGATCCAGCCTCTCACATCCTGGAAGGAAGTCCCTTTGGCAGGGACACAAGTCACCTGAAGCTCTAGGGCCGGCGGGCCTTTGCTGACCTACTGAGGACCCTACGAAAGATCCCTCTGGGTCACAGAGAGGCGCATGCAGCCCCCGGGCTTTCTCAGGGATCACTGGGTGTCCTGCAGGACCCAAGACTTGGAAAGTGTTGGAGTCCTGGGCCCGAGAGTCACCAGTTTTGGGGAGGGACGCCCTGCAAAGCCGGGGGTTGGGATGGAGACAGGGGCGAGGGGGCCAATTGTTCGGGGGATGACTGAGGAGTCGGCCTCAGTAACTGGACCCCACAGGATGAGCTGACATCAAGGGGTAAGTTCACGTTAACTGTTTTGATAAAGAGCTCTGAGCTGCCGAGAGAAAATGGCACGTGACAGAGGGTGGGGCCAGCCCTCAGTGTCAACCCAGAGGGGATAGGTGTCCCCCGGCATCCTGGGGGTGAGCGCTTGCTCTCCTGAATCCATTCCCCAGAACTTCCCTGTGGACCATGTTGGGAAGACAGAGCCTGCCACGTCCCCACCAATCTAAACACAAAGGCGACAGCATGTGGTACCGTGGGGCCTGTGCTGGCCTCGCCCAGGGCCTTCCTGTCCGTTGGCTGCAGCGGGGCGCCCGGCACTTCCTGCAAGGCTTCACACACAAACAGCCTGGGCTCACTCTGATCCCAGAAGTGGCTCACAGGCACGAGATTCGTCAGCCTCTCATCTGCAAGGGCCTGGCTTCTGAAAGAGAGAGACAGACCCTCACACACGTGGTACATCAATGCCCCACTGTGTTTTCAGAAACACTCTCCATGCCAACAGAGATGCTGATGGGCCCTCTGTGCCCCAAGACTCAGGCTGCCCTTGTGGACACTCGAGTTGCAGCCCTTTCAGAAGCTCGAGTTCCGACCCCATGACTCCAGAACCTTAGAACCTGGAAAACAGATTAGAGACTCAAGTCCACCCCGACTGACCAGGGGAGTTTGTTTCTATTTCACCTCTGGTTTCCACCACTCGTGATCTCTGAGCTCTTCCAAGGGTGAAGTAAACTTAGCGACAACCTGCCTCGAAGCCAACAAGTAACTGAACATCGTTTTCAACATTTTTTTCAACAAAATCCTCCCAAACCACAATCTTACTTCTTAGTCTCCTGTCCATTAAAGGACAACGTCTCTCTCTGATCTATCTGTCCCCTCTTGAAGTCGAGGATGGTCACTGTGTCCATTTCCACATCGTAGAAGCAGATTCTGGAATCGGGGCTGTTGTCAGCCTGGGGAAGAGAGAGCTGGAGCTCAGGGTACCCGCCCACTGAGAGCCACACGCCTGGAAGAGATGCCCGGGTCATCCACCCAGCCGCTCCCATGAGCGGGCCTCCAGCATTCGTAATTCGAACGTCAGCTTACGTTCATCCTGCTGAAATGGCTATGGATTTACTACTTTCTAATTTCAGAAAACTGAAGACAAATTCTCAGACTGTGCAGGTCGACTATGGCTGTCTAGCTGTTCTTAATACAGACGTGAGTGTGATGTCATCTTACCTGAGGTGGATTAACCATGGGCACAAGGAGGGACCGAGATTCTGATAAACGAATTCTCACGCAAGTGAGTAAAAATGAAGTAAACACCATAGAGAAGCTTCAGAAAAGCTGAGAAAAGGGAACCAGCTTGGTTGTTGGGGCAAAATGCCAAGAACTCATGTAGACTGTTAAACCTTTATCCCCACAGATACCGGGACGGTAAAGGGACGTGCTTACTTAAGAAAAGAAAGGCAAGAAAATGAAAAATTACCGATATCTTAGACAAAAGAAAATACTGTAAGCTTAAAAGCAATGGAAGAAATCACAAATTAAAAATCATCGATAGGTTTGACTAAATAAAAACGCAAGCTTCTAGTCATCACAATTCCCTAAGCAAAATGACAAACAACGAAGTGTCTGGGACACGGTAAGATGGTCCAGGACTCAGTCTCCACCCCAGACACCACGCCCACCCTGCCCCTTCTGCAAGGAGAGGGGCTTCATCCCATCCTCCTCCTCCTGCTTCTCCCAGCCTCTCCTCCCCTGGGGAGTGCCAGTGGGGCAGGGGAGCTATCTTTCACTGCAAGCCCCCTCAACCTAGCTCAACTTTTCTTTCTTTGATTTTTTTCTTTCACCAGGGCGAGCATTCCTGACCCTGGTCTGAGCGTTGAGCTCCCTCAAGCTCGCTCTGCTCTTTAGAATCAGGCCTCCGGAGACAATGGTCACTCAGCAGTCCGCACTTCTCACCAGCGTCCACACCCAGCACCAAGGAAAATGCCCTTCCCGGGACTGCCCAGCACCACGTCCCAATACCCTGCCTACCTCCTGTGTGGGTGTCTCCTGCCTGTGTGTGGATACCCGGGCAGTGTCCTGGCCACTGAAGGAATGAGTGACCCAGGACTGCCTGGTGTGCGGTGCCTGCCTGTCTCTCCCCATCAGCTCAGCTGCTTCCCCTCCCTCAGCCTCCCCAGGTCCACCCTGGCCTCCGGCTGGTAGGACCCCCACCTCCAGCCAGACCTCCTGGCTGAGACTCAGGCTTGTGTCTAACTGCCCACAGGCCGCCCTTCAAATCCCTTAACTCAACAACCAGACAGGACCCCCCTCCGTCCCCCAAAGGCTCCTCACCCAGCTCCTCTCAGACCCTGTCCTTCCCTGCCCTACAGCCAAGTATGGCTGTGATGGGCCCCAAGGGATCTTCCACCTTGTGATAGCCCACTGACCACTCAGCCTGGGCCTCCCCCTCTGCCAGTGACCAGAGACCTTGGTGAAGCCATGCTTCTGCCACGGGGTCGCACTCTGACGCCTTGGCGGGGCTGTGCCCCCATCACTTGCCCACCTGGCGAGCCCACACCTGGGCTCAACCTCCACCTTCCCTGGAAGCCTCCGGAACTCTTGAGAGCTGTTCCACCTACCACTGACCTCCAGCCCTTCACCTCTCCTCTCAGCTCTCACCATGTAAAAATTTACTCGAGTCTGCTTCTCCGAGGGGAGGGGCCGATTCCCCGATTTAACCGATCAGTTTGTGTTTACAGTGGCCAGCAAAGTGTGTGGTACATGGAGGGCAACCAGCAATCCACTCTTAAATGAACGAGTGAGAGAATGAGTGAATAAATAAGTGAGCGAATGTGTGAGTGAATGAGTGAGCAAATGAACGTGTGAGTGAATGCATGAGGAGAGCATGAACAGACACTGCCAGGTGGGAAGGCAGTAGCTCCTCCAGAACAGGCAACCCAGCCACCTGCCTCCTCCACACCCACGTCGTGTGTTTCTCTAAGCAAGAGGCTCCAAGGTCCTTCCACAGTCATCACCCCTGGTGCCCAGAGAATTTAGTCGGGTGATGGAAAGAGGCAGAAAAGGGAAGAGGTGAGGGTCTCTGCAAAGCAGAAACCACTGCTCCTGATGAAACATGGAGTGAAGGAAGGTGGGGAGGCGAAGGGTGGCCCCAGGCAAGAGGAGAGGCCAGACAGAAAGCTCCCCCACCACTCCGCCCGGCCAGGGAGGAGGGGACGTCAAGAGCGCGGGGTGTGGGGCACAGAAGGGCCAGCTGGAGGGGTGGGAGGAGCTGTGCGCACGAGCGGACTCACCTTGCTGAGGAGGATGCTGATCTTGCTGCCGCTGGCATTGCACCTGAGGGAGGCCATGCCCCCAACGCCCGGGACCAGCCCTGCCAGGCTCTTGCAGCTGCAGTGCACCTTCGCCTCTCTGCGGGGAGGGACGCGGTCTCAGTGGCACCGCCGTGGGATGGCAGGCGCCCCTTCTCCTTGCGGCCTGGAACCTGGGCCCAGAGAACTGAGCTCCGCTTGGGCCCAACTGCTCTCACTTCGGTAATGTGAGACTCAGGAAATGGGCTGAGCTCAGACATAGGGTGATTTTTTATTTTTACATTTTTTTTGTCAAGGTATAATTGACACACACGTTATCTTAGTTTCAGCTGTACAACATAACAATCTGCTACTTGGTGGGTGAGGTTTTAAAATTCTGTTTCTGTGAACAAACACGAACACGTATTTTGTCCCTGTCTCACACAGGAGCAGCTTATTAAGGCTGCTTCATCGTCCCCACAGCACAGCTGGCCGGGGTCTCTGCTGCCCATACTTCATTACAGCTGTGTGCTTTTCCGCTGTGTGGACAAACTAAAATTTATTTAATTAATTCCCTGTTTAGTTGTTTCAGTTTGTTGCCATTAGAAACAACGCTGGCTTGTAGAGGTATCTCATTATGATTTTTTTTGCTTTATTCACATTTCCTTACTTTTCCCCTAGTGTCCTCTGTCTGTCCTAGGCCCCCTGTCCAGGCCCCACTTGACATTTAATTGTCTCGTCTCCCTGGGCCCCTCTGGGCTGGGACAGAGTCTCCAGGCTCATTTGGTGTATTTCCTGCTTCAGTCCCAGTATCAGTCCCAGCATCATTTCTCCGAGGAGATCAGTTCCCTTTACTGCAGGACTTAGAGACCCAGATCCGGGCACGGGATGTGCTCGTTGCTCTTGGGGTGTCATTGCCCTCAGGCCCCCACGGCTGACAGAGCAAGGCTGTGTGTATACTGACTGGTGTGTATCCTCGTAGCCATGGTAACTTTATACGCATCCACCTGCGTCTACGTGAAGCTGCACTCTACTTCAGACTCACATCTCCACCTTGGATGCACCAGCACAGGGGTCACTCCAGCCTCCACCCCTGCTGATCTGGAACCTCCCACCCAGGCGAGAAGCTGGCTCCCTCGGGCTCCCATCCCATCCCTCGGCTGCTCATGTCCAGCCTGGATGGCAGTGTGGGTACTGCTCCCCGAGCCCCGTGGGAACTGACTTCGTCTGCAGAGCACATGCCGCGTGCGGCCCCTTAGCCCTTAGTCTCACGGTCCCACTCGGTGCCAGGGTGACCCAGGCGGCACCTGGTTCCCAGGGAGGCAGTTCCACACACTCACGAATGGTGGGTAGTCCTGCCTCGTCTGCATTCCATCCTGGGATCCCCTGAACTGATTTTTTAAATTTGCAGACATTAAGGCTCACTTTGAGCTGTAAAGTTCTATGGATTTTGACAAATGCACTGTCATGTGTCCATCACATAGTGATGCTGGTCCCTTACCCTTCATGCAAAGATGAAGAATTTAAATCAAGACATAAGACATTTCAAAAAAGTAAGTTGCACATTAATGTTGAAATGAGAACATAAGTAGTTTGCTTCCTCCTCTCCATTTTCTACCCACCACACTACCTCCTGACTAATTTTAAAAATATAATACTTTTATTTGGACAAACACTGTACCTTCGGGATAGATCAAAGCTTTTAAAGTGAGCCAAGTCTGTCCCTACAACCAGGAAATTTCCACAGATGTCAAAGAAGCATGGGTTCCCCTCTGTTTCGGAAAATGGCAGGAGTTGTTTCACAGTCCCCTGAAGAAAAAAGGAGGGAACAGGGAATTCAGGGAGGCTTTATTCACAGGGCCCTGCCCTCTGCTGGAGTCTCACCCCACACGGGGAGGGGAGGACGGGGCCCTGCCCCGGGGGGATCCCTGATGCTTACGTTCAGAGGGGGAGACAGGTAGCAGCCAGGTCAACAAGCAAGTACGCACATAACTCAACCTGAGCAAGTGTAGACAGGTGACGGACAGAATGCTAAAACAAAACTATCAAGGTGGCGAGACATTGAATTCCACCTGCTTGGGTTGGTCCAGGAGGTACTGCCTGCAAGGTCTTATGTTAAAGCCCCAATGAAACTGACTGTGTGGCTAGTGTCCTCTAAGTGGTCACATCCAGGGGAGGCCGTGAGTGGAAGGGATGGTGGTCGCGTCACGGATACGTCCATCTGTGAAAACTCACTGAGCTGCACACACAACATGCTTGCTTTCCTGTGTGTACATCATACGTCAGTAAATGCCTGAGAAACAGGTCTTGTCTGTGGGGCAAACCTGAACTGAGACTGGGGAGAAGGAGCCACCTATTGGAGAGCTGAGCCTGGCTTTCCAGGACAAGGAGGAGCCAGCACAGCAGGAAGGAATGTGGTGGCCAAGGGGTGGCCCCCGAGGTGGGCAGTGAGCAGAGGCCAAGTGGGTAATCAGTGCAGGCCAAGGTGGAGAGCCAGATTTTGTTCTACGTGAAGTTGGAAGACTCTGGAGGGTTTTAAAGTGTCACTCTTACTTTAAGAGCATTTTGGAAAGAGTGACTACAGTCAGGCCTGCACAGAGCTTAGGCTTTCGTGTGTCTTGTGCATGGACCGACCCTTGTCCTTGGAGCTGAGAGAGGCTCCTGGCTCAATTCAAGCAGTGCCCAGTAAGTGTCTGCGTGGCATGGTGCTGGGCTGGGAGCAGGGCACCCCAACAGTGAGTGGGCGGCAGGTGGAGGCCTGGTCCCAGTGCAGGGGTAGCGGGGAGCAGGCTGGACGACCGGGGATGGGGGGGCGTTCCAACAGAACTTAGTAGACTCCTAGTGCCAGGCACAGAGACTTGAGGAGCAGGCCAGGAAGCTGCATAACCCGTCCAGGAAACTCAGAGTGAGGGATAAACAGCATGGGGGTGAGTTCCAAGCTGAGGAATCTGATCTTCATGTTGATGCACCCAGTAGGGAGGTTAGTATACGTTTGTGGAACAAGCAAACAACAGTCACAGGCAATGGCTCACGGTGAGGACAGGCTCACTGGTGAGGACAGAGCGAGGCTCTCAGCCTCCTCTGCTCGACCTCTCCTCTGCCGCTCCTGACACGTTGTACGCAGTGCAAACCTGACCTCCTCTCCTTCCACACTGCCTCAATGATATGTCCCAATTCCCAACCCCAGCTTCAGAGCGTGGCCTGGGCTCCTGCCTCCAGAGCAGTGTTTCCAGCTGGCTCTGGTGTAAGGATATAGGCTGGGGCGGGGTGGTGGTGGGGGTTCCTGGAGAAAGAAAACCAGGACTGGTATTCTTGACATAAGAGGACCCATTTTAGCCTAAGCCATTTTGTGATCTAAGCCTGGCCACAGTGCTGGTCCTAGAACAGGCCTCAGCAATTAATGATCTTAGGGAGGGAATGCAGAAACAAGGGAGGAGCAGCCTTGGGGCAGGTCCTGGTTCCTCAAGGGATATACATAATAATACACCTTTGAGTTCTGCAGGAAGTAACGCTCCCACCGACTTCAATCCACAGCCTGGACTCTGTTGACCTTTGCCCCAATTCTACCCTGAATTCTCCTCTGCTCAAATGCTTTTGTGAATATGCTTGTGCCCTCAGCTTAAAACTTCCCCAATTTTGCTGTTCAGGAGACACTGTTTTGGGAAAGATCCCCCGTGTTCTCCTTCCTGGCTGCAAGTAATAAATCCTTCCTTCTCCCGATCTTAGCTTGGTTGTGTCTATTGGCTGACATCCACCGAGAGGCGAACCTCATTTTCAGGTAACACTGGGACATCTCTGAAGGGTGTCCGAGGCACCTCACACTTGCACCCTTCCCCCCCAGCCCTGCTCTGCTTCTGTACTTTCCACCTTAAGGCTCCACAATTAGCACAGACCCGCAAACTAGACAACTAGAATGTCCTCAGTTCCTCCCTCCTACACCAGTTGCTCACCACGCCCCTAACTGCTGACTCTGGCCTGGCTCCCTGCCCATTGTCGCGCTCCAAGCCCCCGGACCTCTCACCTGTGGCCTCTCCTATCTGCCTTCACTGCTCACCAGCTGCCCTAGTCCTTCCCACAGAAGGGAAGGAAGTGATCTTCTAGGAAGAAAACACAAAACCAAGAAAAAAACAAGCCAAAACGCACCGTGTTACTGGGGCTCCACACCTCCTGCCTTCCAACTTCCACATGGTCCCCCGAGGCTTTGCCTCCACGGGTGTCTGTCAGACACCAGCCCCCGCTCAGCTCCCGCCTCTCCTCGCAGTGCCTGGCAGGAAGCACGGGAACCAGCGGGGCTCTGCGCTCCCACCTGGAGGAAGCTTCTGCGAGAACCATGAGGTACATAATGGCTGTCCCATCACCACACAAACCAGCAACAACTGCAGTTTGTGTGTCATGGATGCACGGGCAGGGAGAAAGGTCTGGAGACACACTCCAGCTTTCCAACGAGAGGAGAGGTGCTAATGGATTCCTTACACAGGCTGGCATTACTTTACTAATCACCATGGTCACATATTCCTTAACCTAAAAATCAACTAAAAAGTCTAAACTCTAGACTGTCTGTGGTCAGACGCTCCTAAGTTCCCTCCAGCTGATTTTTCACCCCTTCCCCAGCAAACCTTTCACCCCTTTCCCAGTATGCCTTTCACCTCTTCCCAGCAGGCCTATCATTCTTTCCCGGTAAGCCTTTCACCCCTTTCCCAGCATGCCTTTCGCCCTTTCCCAGCAGGCCTATCATTCTTTCCCAGTATGCCTTTTGCCCCTTCCCAGCAGGCCTTTTCTTCTTTCCCAGTATGCATCTCACCCCTTCCTACAGGCCTATCATTCTTTCCCAGTATGCTTTTCACCCCTTTCCCATCATGCCTTTTGCTCCTTCCCATCAGGCCTATCATTCTTTCCCAGTATGCCTTTCCCCCTTCTCCAGCAGGCCTATCCTTCTTTCCCAGCATGCCTTTCACCCTTTCCCAGCACGTCTTTCATTCTCTCCCATTATGCCTTTTGCCCCTTTCCCAGTATGCCTCTTGCCCCTTCCCAGCATGCTCTTTGCACCTTCCCATCAGACCTATCATTCTTTCCCAGTATGCCATTCCCCCATTTTCCAGCAGGCCTATCCTTCTTTCCCAGTATGCCTTTCGCCCCTTCCCTGAAGATCTTTCCTTCTTTCCTTGGATGCCTCCACTCTCCAGCTCCTCAGGTCACTCCTCTGATAACCCAGCTGCTCCCTCATCTTTTGTTAGGAGGGCCCCTCCCTGCCTCGGCTTTATGTCCACAGCTGATGCCCCTACACAACTATCAGCAGTATGCAAGGCCCATCCCTCCTTCCCTCCAGCCTCTCTGCCTCCCTTTTGACCTGAAGCAGGGCAGGTATCTCAACAGGCCCCAGCTCCTTCCACCTGCACTTTGCCCCAGGAGGCGAGTGGGGCTGCGGGCGCTTCCCTGACTTGTCAGGTCTCTATTCCAATGCCACCCCCTGCAATACTTCCCACCTACCTCCACACTTCAGTGTGCACCTTTACTGTCTGACCCTCCTGCTAGAAAGTAGAACTGCATGGAAGCTCTTTCAGGAATTGCTGAATGCAAGAGTGGACGTGCAGGCTGTGAGGTACAAGGACACGGACATGGCAGCCCTGGGAAATCAAATGCTGGACCCCAGGAAAGAACTCAGAGCTGGACAAAGCAGTCATACTGAGAGCTAAAACCAGTGCCATAACAAATGTCCTCAACCATGATGCAGAACACTATTGCATGTACTGGGCTGAATGGTAGCCCCTGAAAGATACATCCATTTGGATGTATCTTGGAAAAAGGGTCTTTGCAGATATAATTAAGGATCTCAAAAGGAGACAACTCTGGATTAGGGTGGACCCTAAATCCAAGGACAAGTGTCCTTCTAAGACACAGGGAGAAGGCCATGTAAAGATGGAGGCAAAGACTGGAGTGATCTGTCTACAGGCTGAGGAACGCAAGGAATGCCGGCAACACCAAAAGCTGGAAGGGGCATGGGACAAATTCACCCTCAGAGCCTCAGAAGGAGCCAATCTTGCCCACACCTAGATTTAGGATTTCTGGCCTCCTGAACTGCAAAGAAAATAAATTTCTATTGTTTTAAGCCATAAGTTTGTGGTCATTGGTTATGGCAGGCTCAGGAAACTAATACACCATGTCAGCCCTGGGGGTCCAGCAAGTGTGCACGGGATGTGGGCAGGGTTTCCTTACTGCACACCACCCGGAGGGAACAGAATGGTGTGTTAAAGGCCTGTAATCCTGGAGGCACACATTGCTCCCATCCTGGCCTCACCCTCAGACACATGCAGGGAAAAAGGTCTGCCTAAAGATATGTCCTGAACTGATGACCCCTCAGTCCTCAAGATGCGCATTAAACACAGCAAAATTTCCTCCCATTTCACACCCCCATGCACTCAAGGTCCAGCCATGTAGTCCTTTTCACTGCAAAAGGCCACTGCCTCACCTCCTGACTTCTGAAGTCACAAGAGCTGTCGATGGAGGGGCTATCCAACAATCCATTTTTACAACCAAGCACCCAGTGGGGGCAATCTGATGTGGTTGAGTGAAGTCATTAAGCAGGCTCTGGCTTGATTTAGAGATGGCATTTTAAACTCTGCTCTAATTGTCTTTAACGTCACAGGCCACTCACTCTAGAGCAGCAATTTACCTGCCAGGTTCGAACTTGGACTCGGTTTGGCTCCACCGTATAAACGTTTTCTTCGTGCATGGCTAACACTGGAGACTCACACAGGAAGGTACCTAAAATTAAAGATAAAGGTCAGGACAGCAGCAGCTAGTCTTGTCATAGCTCCTTAGAGTTTAAGAAGCATTCTCACACTAAAACTAGGACTTTTTGTAGGGCAACTATTGATGAGAAAGACTGAAACCTAGCAGAAAAGATCTTCTACAACTAAGGATATAAAGAAGGAACCACGGTGAGACGGGTAGAAGGGGTGGAGCTGCGGTATAGTCAAGAAGTGTTCTCATGTGTGTTCCCTAATTTTCCTTGGCACCCACAATAGCCTTGTGAAAGGTGCGTTTTCTTTATCTTGCAGATGAGGAAAGTGAGGCTCTGAGACACAGGGACCTGCCAGGGCCACAGCTGCCGGTGATGGCCAGGTGTGGGGACTCAGTGCTGGGCACCCTGCCCTCACCAGTCACTGATGGTCTCTCCTCTTTTATCCCATCTAGCAGTGGTGCTTCCAGTAGCATAGCATCTATGACAGCATGATTGTTCAAGCATCTGCTTATCTTATGTGGAACTTTGGAGACCACAAGCTCTAGTCTCTGGCTCTAGACAGGTTCTTATCTAGTTAGGAAGATGATGACACACACAAAACAGAAAATAGCTCAGCACCTGTTGTGCTATCCCCTTGGGAGGATAAGTTCACCCTTGCCCCTCAAGGGGTCTATGGTAGAAGAGAGGCGAAGACGTGAATTATCAGCACGATACAGGGCAGGGTGGGAAAAGTGTTCCAAGAGAACTTTAGGCAACAAAGTGTTAGAGGAGGAAAAAAAAGTGAGGGAATAATATGAGGGAGAGAGTTGATAACCTGTGGAAAAACATCCCCAGGGAGGTGTGAGGTATTCAAACAAGCACGTGGGGGCATCACCCTGGGAACAGTGCAATGACGAATCCCCCTGTGAGGCAGGAGGGCCTAGGTCAGGATGGGTGAAGACAAGAACTGTGCAGAAGGAGATCTTGCCGAGGAGCACGTCCTGATGGTCACTGTGCTTGGTGGGAAGATGTCCCCAAAGAGATCAGGTCCTAATCCCTGAAACCCATGAATATTAGCTTATATGGCCAAAGATGTTAAGGTCTTGAGATGGGGAGATTATCTTGGATTATGCAAATGGGCCCCAAATGAAATCACAAGTGTCCCTGTAAGAGGGAGGGAGATTTTTAGACAGGAACAATGTGACAGTGGAGGCAGAGACTGGAATGATGTGACCCCAAGCCAAGGACTGCTGGCAGCCACCAAAAGCTGTAAGAAGCAAGGAGCAGAGTCTTCCCTAGAGCCTCTGGGGCTCTGCCAACACCTTGATTTTGGCCAGTGAAACTAATTTTGGACATCTGGCCTCAAGAACTGTGAGAGAATAACTCCTAAACAGCCACTCGTTTTGTGGTCCTTGTTACAGTAGCCCCGTAACTCATACAGACATGTGCTAAAGAGCAGAAGATAAAGTGAAACAGAGAGTCGGAGCGATGGATGGGACAGGTGGAACAGCTCTGAAGATCCACCCTGAAATTTTCAGACAGAGGTTGGCCTTGGTCGAGACCCCACGGGCTCACTGCTGTGCGTGCTCTGGGAAGTTCAGAAGTCAGGTGTGTAGCATCCCTTTCCCCGGAAAGCACTGTGGTTCTTCACACTCATGCCAACTTATTTCTGAGCTGTTTCATCGTCCTGGAGCCCAGGAGGGCTGCTGGCCCCAGATCTGGCTGCACTTAACTACCTCAACTAGCTTCTGTAGGGAGGCTGGGGAGGCCCTGGTTGCACAGGGCTAGAGTGGCAGCACCGGCTCTGGAAACGCAGGCCCAGGCACGAGAACTGACATAAGGGTCTCCCCATGGCCCTGGGCCTGCCCTTTGCCCACCTCACAGGCACCAGCACCCACCCCCATTAGATGTGAGTCCCCTTCGTGGGGCTGAAAAGACTCCTACCTGCACTTCGTAATGTGGCTCCAGAAGGCTCAAAGATCACCACCTGTTTTCCATTCCAGACGGCAACAGCATCCTACAAAGAACCACGGAAATTAAAAAGCAACCGGCCGTCTGGGCCTCGTTGTCCCGAATGACCCTAACAACCGACCAGGTCTTCCGTCTGTATCGATGATCCCGCCCAAGCCCATGGTCACCCTGGCAGTGACCTTGGTGGCGAACACTCCGCTGATGTACATGTCTGTGCGCAGGCTGTGCGTCACCCCCGTGGACAGGAAGGACACGCTGAGTAGGCTCGGGGAGACCTGCACCGCGGCCACCTGCTGGTGGAAGTGGGACGACATGGCCTGCTCGCGGAGGATGAGCACGGAGCTGATGCTGTTCACTGCCAGGAGGCTCTTCCTGGAGCCCCACTTCATTCCCACGTTGAGAGACAGAAAGGAGAGGTGCAGTCAGGGCAATGTTATAAGTACGAGGATTCATAAACAATTTCCAAGCACTATTTCTTCTTCTTGTTTAAAAACATGATTTTAAAAATTTATAAGTATAAAATGTATAATTTGTAGAAAAACTTTAAAATAACAACACTCAGAGTTTAGATCCAGCGGGTAAACTTGTGTGGTTGTTCTCGCTCATGTCTATCCTGACTGGTTGAGCATCTTCTAGAGTTTACTTTACTGACATGAACTTAGGGGCGTCTATGTTTTATAAATGGAAAGCAAATTTACACACTCTAGTGAACCATCCAGACTTCCTCTAGTGATGTCAAGTACCACTTTCATAATTTCATATTAAACTTCCAAATCCATACAAATCCATTTCTGGATTTCCAACTTTACTCCACTGATATATTTATCCATTCCTAGTAAGCATGCCATGTTAATTGCTATACTTTTCAGATATATTCTGGTATAGGATACAGAAATGGTCTGATTCTTTTTAAAATTTTTTCTCGGCCATTTGCTCTACCAAATGAGTTTAGAATTATTGTGTTGAATTCCCTCAGGAAAAAAAAAAACCTCCTTATTTTCACTGGATAAACATGTAATTTGTAGATTTATTTGGAAAGAGCGATGGATGGGACAGGTAATTACAAGATTGAGGCTTCTCTTTGAGGAACATGGTCTACTGAGTCAATTTTTCTTTTACGTCTTTCAAGAAAGTTAGTGTGGCTCTTACTATTATTTAAAATGGGCATTTCTTTCATTACCACTGAGGTTACACGTTTTCCATGGATTCTACTAACCACCCTTAGGTAAATTATCTGCACTCTCCTTCATCACTTATCCATTTACATTCTTTTCTTTTTGGCCGCACAGCGCAGCATGCAGGCTTAGTTCCCCAACCAGGGATCGAACCCGGGCTCCCACAGTGAAAGCACTGAGTCCTAACCACTGGACCGCCAGGGAATTCCCTCCATTGGCATTCTTAATATTTTTCTTATAAATGTGAGTATTTTTCACGTCCATTATTCTAAGATATCACTAAAGGTAAGATGAGCCATCAGTTTAAAACAGCACCTTTCTTCTCCCACAAAAAAACAAAAACACTTTCAACGTACACATCAACTGGGATTGGTATTCAAATGAAGAAAAAAATTATGCATTGAAAATTGGGAAAATTTGGTGTTTTAGAGATTAACCTTTTAAAGTGAATTTTTACCCAGCTCAGTTTTCCTTTCATCCCAGCCTTCCTGTTCACATTGCCCGGTGTGACATGTTCTTATGGACTCAACCTTGTCCCTCTGCTTTTGCAACTTCTTTTATTACTTAAAATCTAAGAAAGTTACACTTTCTCTACAGATCTGATTATATTCTGTGTTTTTAGCCAGTTATTCTGACCCAACTTTTAATTTTTTAAATTTTATTTTCAACAGGTGGACCATTTTTAAAGTCTTTATTGAATTTGTTACAATATTGCTTCTGTTTTATGTTTTGGTTTTTTGGCTGCAAGGCATGTGGGATCTCAGCTCCCCGACCAGGGATCGAACCCACACCCCCTCCACTGGAAGGCGAAGTCTTAACCACTGGACTGCCAGGGAAGTCCCTGACCTAACTTTTAAAAATATTTAACTCGTTAATTCATCCAGAAACTATGTTTATTTATGACCTGAGATGAGGATCTAAAAGTAATTCCCAAAATTGCTCTAAGGTATCCCTAAACTGTTTACCATGTAAGTTTTCATTTCCTGATTAGTATAGATTAAGTAAACTTTATCTTAAAAAATTCAGGGACTTCCCTGGCGGTCCAGTGGTTAAGATGTCACACTTCCACTGTAAGGGGCGTGGGTTCGATCCCTGATCGGGGAACTAAGATCCTGAGTGCCATTTGGTGCAGCCAAAAATTAAAAAAAAAAAAAAAAAAAATCACACAGAGCAGATCTGAGAGGCAAGTTCCAGAAAGGCAGGTGAGGAGCCCCGAGGACATAGTAGGCATAACTGGTGAAAATTATGAAAACACAACCATGTACTTCTCTGGGAATTGGGCACAGAGTAAATGAAGAAAGACTTATTGAAGAAAGTCTACTAAGTCTGGTAAGAAGAGCAGAGTCTGTGGCAGGTGAGCTCGGCAGGCAGGTTTGGCCAAGAAACCAGGGCTCCCTCTCCTCCGGCATTTTCCTGGGAGGGGCGGCTGCCAGCATCTCTCACTCCCCTAGCTCCGGCACAGAGGCCAGGTCCAGGTGGGTCGGAGGGAGGCTCTGCATCTGGAGCGGGAGCCAGACCACATGGGGCCCCCAGGCCCTTGCCCCAGCTTGCTCCTCTCTGGGAGAGGCCATCCGGGACCAGAGGCTCCTGTGTCCAGCTCCCAGCTCCCAAAGCAGGGTGTCACCCCAGAAAGCCAGCTACTCTCCCCACTACCAGGCTGTGGAGCAGTGACTCAGAAATCTTTTCCTGAGGGGAAAGGCAGTCCACAAGAACAGCAAGCTCCCCAACAGAATGACTTTGTTTGAAACAGAATAGGGGCAAGTTCAAGCCTCAGGATGACCAGAAAACAGTAGAGTTTTGGAGCATTAAGAGGAAGCTGGGGCGGGAATTCCCTGGCGGTCCAGTGGTTAGGACTTGGTATTTCCACTGCTGGGGTGCAGATTCAATCCCTGGTCGGGGAGCTAAGATTCTGCAAGTCGTGCGGCACAGCCAAATAAATAACTAAATAAGACAAATAGATGATAGAGATAAATGGATGTGTAGATAGATTTAAAAAGATAAATATAGATTACTACAGATCCACAATCCCTTATCTGTAGTTCTGAAACCCAAAAGGCCTTTAAAAATATTTTACTGTTGTTATTTTTTATCTTAATTTGAATAACTGACAAAAATAGGTTCAGCGCAATTACTGCCTCCACTTCTGCAGAAAATGAGTGCACCCAGTGCCCCGTCGAGGCATACCTTTATCTGTGTGATGTTTCCTTCAAGCTCAGTGGGGATCTGAAGGGTCCACCTGTCTTTGCCCTCCACCCCTTGGCTGCTCTGGGGGCCTGGCACTTTTCTCCACATGGCTACGCGCCCTTTATCGGTACCTGCTGCCAGAAGACCTGTAGGTAAAAAGAAAGTTCACGTTGAGTTGAAAAGGGATAAAAACAGCAGCAAGCTCACTTCTCTGACCACCCTCTCTAAAATACCAGCCTGTCGGCCCTCCGTCCAGGAACTGCCCAGCCTCGTACCTGGCCGTGTCTTCCTTAGCAGGAGTTCGCTACTCGCAGTGACACAGTGTGTACATGTGTGGATGGGGGATTGGGGCAGTGGTGCTGCTTGCTCTCTGGTTTCTCCCATGAGAGAGGAGCCTGCTTGCCTGTGTTCAGGGCTGCTTTCCCAATGCCACACAGCACTTAGCACTCAGCGGGCACGGAAGTGCTGCTCTGGTGCATTTCCTATTCTTTCTGTCATATTTGTGTGTGCGTGTGTGTGCACATACGCACATCCATGTACACATATATATTTAATGTTTCTCACACTGACTTTTTCTTGAGGTTTCAGGAGGAACAGACACCAATTCACGCAGCCAGGCTGGTCACATTCCTGACCAAATTCCTTGACCACTACGTGGGACAACACAGCTTTCCTGCCTCTTTTTGGCTCTTGGCTGACTGTACTCGAGTGACTGACATAGTTGTAACTGAGGTATGGTTCTTAGAACAGCCCTGAGTTCCATGTCATGACAGCACACCCCAGAGCAAAGCCTGAGGTGGGCTCTCCCTCTGACGCTGGGAAGTCTCACCTTTGACTCTACAGTAAGAAACACAGTTCATATTCTCTCCTTTTTCAAAACCAAACTTCTCCTCTGGACTCAGTACGTAATTCTCTCCTCGTTCTAAATCCCAGAATCTACAAGGCAAGGAGGAAAGTCCCACGGGGGGGACTGTGTTAGTGGGCTTCCCTCAGCTGTGAGGGTCTTGTTCAACTCGCAGAGTAAACTTTAGAAATCAGGAAAAAGACATGGCCCTTTGGACTCTGAGGAGAAAAGCATGTCGTTGTTACGTTATCTATGTTACGTTTTGTTCATAACAAAGGGAGCAGTTGTTAATAAAAGAGGGTTCCTGTGTGACACCGGGTCACGATGAGAACAAGGGAACTCCAAGCACCCAACCAGGGAGAACCCCTGAATGTCACATGAGCTAAAGCAGCCGGACCCAAGAGAACACAACATGGGATTCCACCTACCCAGGGATCAAAAAGGCAGGCAGACGTCAGGACAGTGTGACCCCTGCGGGGGCGGGCGGAATGCCTAGGGTCTCTGATATGTTCTGCTCTTCCATCTCAGGGCTGGTTACGTGGATGTGCCCAATTAGTAACACTTCATCATAATTTGTGCATTTTTCTATATGTATGTTACACTCCAACACAAAGTGTACTCAAGAGACTGTATGGGACAGAATTTTCAACCCCAGCGCTCTCTGCAGAGTCGGGATCTCACCTGAGGACCGCCTCCCCAGTGGCGGTCACAAGAAGGCTGCTGTTGATCAGGGCGACATTTGCCTGGCGACCCATATTTCCACTCAGCTTTACCTGCACAACAACAACCCGAAAGGAGCACGTCGCCCTTGTCGAGACCAGGTCCCTGTTCAGCAGCTGGACTCTCTGGCAGTGACTCCCCGCAGACTCACCAAGCGGAGGAAGTGAGGGTGGCTGTGGACACTTGGAAGGGCAGCCCCAGCCTTTCAGGCCAAAGCAGCGACCACTGCACACTATGTAGTTAATGACAGGGGTGCCCCGCATTGGGTGAGGCAGCTTGTCACAGCCTGTGTTCAGAGAAAACCTGCCAGCAAGGGGCTGAGGGGGGATTTGAACCCAGGTTCACAGGACTCAGTGACCACATTTCAACTGCTGTGTAGACAGAGGTGCACAAAGGACCCCTGAACACCGACTTTTCTGCATCGACCAGAGCATCTTAGGGAAGGTTTGGAGTACTCTGAGAACCATAGAATCCTTGGGTGTAAACCAACAAAGTGGCAGGAGAGTGGCATGCAGTCCTCAGGGAGCTGCACGCGCTGCCTGACCAACAACCAACGCCCCAGGCTTCCTGGCGTCCTCCCGCGAGTGAGTGCCCCGGCCCGGGGCGAGGCACCCACGCAGATGGCAGGGTGTCCAGAGTTGTGATTATCACACACCCCTCGGATAAAGCAATGCATATGTGTGGGCCAGCGGTAGTGTCACAGAGGGAACACTGGTGACAACCCTCAAGGTCTGCACATAGCCAGGCATCCCCGCCACAGCCCCGTACCTCCCGTGGCTCTGGGAGGCCCCGTCCCCTGGTGTCTCCCCCACCTGTGACCGCAATGGTGCACAATAAATTAGGTGCTAAAGCTCTGGTGGTGGCCCTGAAACACAGACTCCTCAACCAAAACGAAGGGGTGTATGAGGTGGGCAAGAGAGGCTGGAGACCCCCTGGGGCACCCCCCCATCACCTCCTCACCTTCATCACCTCCTCGGCTGTGCCCTCGGGCATCACCGTGAACAGACACAGCAGCAGGCTCTCGGTGACTGCCACCAGCACCTCTCTCTCCTCCAGGTAGAACAGCGTCTGAATGGAGCTGTCCGTGGACGCCACCCGGGCCGTCCTGCCCTTCTCGTCCACGTAGTGCACGGTCCCTGCGGGAAAGCGATGTGTCCATGGAGGCTGGACACTCCCTGGAAGCCATTCTACCTACTTAGGGACACTTTCAACGTAAACATCTTCATCATAATCATTTACAAATAAGCTATTTTAAAAACACTGGCACATGACCCCTGCGTCTGCCATCTCTGGGTCAGTCCAGCCAGGACCCCTGTGTCTGCCATCCTCCCTCCACCACTGTCCAGCGCTCACACTGACCACCCTCCTGATGCACAGCCTCCATGCTCTGGTCATCTCAGTCCCCTAGGTACACGTCCATCACCCGTCTGCCGGGGCCTTAACTATGACCCTCCCCGGAGCCTCGGCCTGCACCCTCCATCCTGGGTACCGGGTATCGCTGGCTGGCGTCTGGCCTGCACCCTCTTGCCTTCCCCAGGCCCTCGCGTCGGCCCCAGGGCCCCTCCCAGCTTGGATACCCTCCTCTTGCCCCCGAGCTGTCTCCTGGTTCTGCTTTCAGGCTTCTGAGCATGGTGGCAGCACCTCCTGTGAGTTCTCGGGATTGGGTTCATTCTGCTGCTCTCGGGAGCCTCCTCACCCTCCATGCCGCCTCCCATCTCACTCCCAGTGGACAACTTGAGTTCTTATTAAGCTTAAAGGTTCAAGGTTGTCTGGAGGCTAATCATAACAGTAACTAGTATTTACTGAGCACAGATGTGTGCGGGCTCCGTGTACAGAGGCTCTGGAGGCAGGTACTATCCTGATCCCCACTGTACATGTTCGGAAGCTAAGGCACAAAGACACCGGATCATTTGCCCCAGTTGCACGGCTGCTGGGCGGGGGCAGCACTGACACCCCCTGCAGAGCCAGGCCTCCAGTCGCCACGTCTCCTTCCTCCCTCAGGGCCCCCGCCGCCCCCACAGTGCCCACATTGGGTCCCTCCAACTCCCCTCCTTAAATGCCAAGTCTCTCTACTTTTAAACTGACAAATGCCCCAGCCCCTCCCAGCTGTCACCTGTCACAGTTAAGCTGCCTGGCCACACACGTCCTCGAACCCCATCACCCCAGGAAGGGCCCCTTTCCCATGGGAGAAGGCACTCATGAATGTCTCGTGAGTGTACGAGACCCTCTATCTCTCTGAACCTCACACTGCATCTATTGGCCGCCGCCTGCCTCCTAGCACACCGCGGGGGAGCCGTGTTAAATCAGCACGGACGGCCCAGCCCTGCCAGGGCTGCTGGTCCAGCGTGCCCCGGTCACACCCACCCCAGAGCTGAGCCCCGCTGCTGGCTTGGAGACCACGCCGGGTGCCCCTGGTATCGATTCATCTTGGGCTGCATATCCTGGACAGCTTCCTCCTGAAAAACCTTCAAATGCAAATAAAGCTCAATTTGTTTCTATCAGGTCAAGGTGAAGCCACCCTTTGGATCCTGGATAAACACCTGCACAAGCCGGCTAAGGCATCCATTTGGGAATGGCGCACAGCCTGCAATTTTATGCAGAAACGCCATCCATTCGCTTATAATCTCCCAGACACTCCGAAACACTGCAGTGTCCCCAGACCCCAACCTGAGTGTCTTACCATCGGTCAAGCTGACAAAGAATGAGAGTCCCTCTTGAGGTCCCATTTTCAGGAAACTTCCAAAGCCACACTTCCTCCAGTTAAACTTGTCCAGGGCTTTCTCATCACCACTCACAGCTGCCTTCGCCAACTGAACGAGGTCCCTAAGAGCAAATGTGACAGAGATTCCTTGTTGCTCCCTGGACGAAGGTGGTATAACCACAGAGGAGACCCCTCCAGTGTCAGGAGGAGCCACATCCCCGGCCCCGCCAGCCACCACCCAAGCTCTACTTACTCGCCGGGAGGGGGGAGCCGGAAGATGCAGTGAGTGAGGTGTTTTCCATACTCGTGTTTCAGCAGCGGTGCCCCTTGTACTCGACCCCTTTGGTCCAACTTCCATAAGAGCAGGATACCAAGCTGGAAAACCCAAGGTCACATTCTTAGCAAGTGACTGGTGGAGGGTGAGGGTGATACTGTGCAACAGAGCATGGGCTTACTCCTTTTTTTCTTTTAAAATTATACTACTACTATATGTGCACCATGAAAAACTCAAAACAATTTTAGTGTTCAGTGAAGGAACCAGAAACTCCTCTCTGTGCCCCATCCCATCTTCACTCCCTGGAGATAACAAGTGTCACATGTTCAGTTTTTAAAACAAATCTTTAATTTTGGGATAGATTCAAATTTAAGGAAAAGTGGCAAAGATAGTTCAGAGACGCTCCATACCTCACAACTAGCTTCTCCTATTACTGACCCTACATTACTGTGGCGCATGATACTAACTAAAGTTGGTACTTCATTCACCTCTCCTCAGTTCTTCCTGCCCTGGGACCCTGTCCAGGCCCCACAGACATCTGGTCGCCATGTCTCCTTGGGCCCCCTGGGCTGGGACGGTGGCTCAGACACCCCTGTTCTGGACGCCTGGACAGTGTTGAGGAAGACCGATCAGGGGTTTTGTAGAATGTCCCTCCGGCAGGATTTGCCTGATGTTTTTCTCATTGTTGTCGGGGTGGTGGGTTTGAGAGGAAGACCAGAGGTCAAGTGCTGCTGTCGACATGTCGGATCAGGGGTCCCTGTCCTTGGCGTGACCTGTCTGCTGAGGTCATGTCTGTGACCTCCCTCACTGGGGAGTTTCTTCTTCCTTCCATCCTGTCCTGCCTGGAAGGAAGTCGCTGTGTGCAGCCCACACGTAGGAAGGGGAGTTATGTCTCACCTCCTAGATCATCTGGAGAGATATGCCTCTTGTCCACCATTTACTGATTTATTAAATCATAGATTTACATCAATATGGACGCACGGATGGACCCATGAATATTTATTTTCTACTCTGGGTTATGACCCAATATTCCCTTGTTTGTTTAGATACTCAAATTGTTCCAGCTCCGCCATCGGGAGCTCTTTCCTCAGGCTCTGTTGTCCCTTCGATGCACCCGTCGCTGTGGGTTTGTGAGCACCTCCTCACGTCCTGGCCTACAGATCCTCCGGGCTTGCCATCCTGCCCCAGCCCGAGGATCAGCCATTTCTCCAAGTAGCCCTGGTTCATTTTATTGGAAGAAACCAAGATCTGGGTACCAGGTGTACTATATGTTCAACATCAAAGTCATCAAAATCTCAAGTTAATGGCTCAGACAACTGCTAGAAAAGTTCAAGTTGCGGGGAAGACGACTTGGTCCAGGAGCAATTTTCCAGGAGGGCTTCTGGCTGGGACAAGCTAAGCTTTGCCAAATGGCAGTGTTTCCCTCGAACCCTGAGGCCGCTTTGCTGCGCTGCCCGAGCAGTCCTCAAGGTCTGTTTCCTGCTCACGGTCAGTGGGTGTAACATTGCTTTACTGTATATAAGAATATGATTTTCAAATAATGTGGGCCTTGGGACGTCCCTGGAAGCCCAGTGGTTAAGACTCCACGTTTCCACTGCAGGGGACGCGGGTTCGATCCCTGGTCAGGGAACTAAGATCCTGCATGCTGTGTGGCACGGCCAAAAAAAAAAAAAAAGTGGGCCTTAAAAAGCAACTTGTACAGTGGACCTCTAAGAAAAGTATGTAAGATCAGAAATAGTATGTAACATGAGTATATATAGAATTCAAATCCTATATTATTATACAGATTCTTCTTGACTTTGCCAGCTTTATAAAGATAAGAATAAAAACATTGGGGGGCTTCCCTGGTGGCGCAGTGGTTGAGAGTCTGCCTGCAGATGCAGGGGACACAGGTTTGTGCTCCGGTCCGGGAAGATCCCACATGCCACGGAGCGGCTGGGCCCATGAGCCATGGCCGCTGAGCCTGCGCGTCCGGAGCCTGTGCTCTGCAACGGGAGAGGCCACAACAGTGAGAGGCCTGCGTACCACAAAACAAAACAAAACAAAACAAAACAAACATTGGGGCTTCCCTGGTGGCGCAGTGATTGAGAATCCGCCTGCCAATGCAGGGGACACGGGTTCGATCCCTGGTCTGGGAAGATCCCACATGCTGCGGAGCAACTAAGCGCGTGCGCCACAACTACTGAGCCTGTGCGCCACAACTACTGAGCCCGCGTGCCACAACTACTGAAGCCCGTGTGCCTAAAGCCCGTGCTCCACAACGAGAGAAGCCACCACAGTGAGAAACCCGCACACTGCCACGAAGAGTAGCCCATGCTCGCCGCAATTAGAGAAAGCCTGCGCGCAGCAACAAAGACCCAACACAGCCAGAAATAAATACATAAAATAAATTTATAAAAAAAAAATAAAAACATTATTTTTTGTGTGTTTACAAATTACTCTTAAAATAAAATTAAAAAAATAATACTTGCACAGTGAAACACACATAAGGGCAGAAATGGGAAGGCTTCCTTCCCCGTCACCTAGCCTCCTCCCTAGAGGAGCCAGCAGTTGGGCCCTGCTGTGTGTTTTAGGCACACACGGCCCCTGTGATGGCCTTCTGCTCTGCCCTGCAAGTACAATTGTCCAGCGCTTAATTTTTCTTTTCTTTTTTCTTTTTGGCCCGGCTGAGCAGCTTCCGGGACCTTAGCTCTCCAAACAGGGATTGAACACAGGACCCTGCAGTGAAAGTGCTGAGTCCTAACCACTGGACTGCCAGGGAACTCCTGTCCAGCACTTAATTTTTAACACAGTAAATGACTCTGTTTTATTAGTATACACGAGCTTCCAGCTGACAGCTCATTAGGCACCTGAACACAAACATGAGCACTCGGCCTGTCCAGATCCCCCGACTGTTGAGCTGGGGAAGAAGTTGAAGGATGGAAATGTCCGGAGTCCCTGGAGTAGTGGTTTCTGCTCAGATGACCGCAGACCCCTGTTCTGATACAAGGACAGACAGACAGAGACACACACACACACACACACACACACACAAGAAGGGGAAGCCACAGGAAGTCACCTCAGGTCTCCTGTAACCAGATAGACACGCAGACGCCAAGTAGAAGATGGCAAAGCAGATGCCTCTTCGGGGCCTCCTGCTCATTGCCCCTAAATTCTAAGTGGTTTTTGCATCTCTTACTACTCCTGAGGGGGGATCCTTTGTGTTCAGAGTGGTCTCTTTACTCGCTGCCATTCCTTCCAGGTCACTTCATTCAAATAACTTTATCCAGTTATCCAGTTGAAAGAAAAGTGAGAGCATCTCACCCTCAGGTGGGAAACCAGTCCCATGCAGAGCAGGAGGTGAACGTACTAAGGGACTAGTGTGAAGTTAGGGCTCAGATACGACTGTCGGGACACGTTGTCACTTCACAGCTGGCTCACTAATGGTTTATCTCAGAGATCAGGAAGCGACTTGCCCTTTCCTGTGTGTAGGTGCACTTACTCCTCGCCCTCAGCTCTTGTCCAGCAGGAGAGTGAGAGGGAGATGAGCCCTGGACATGCATTGTCCTCCCCGCTTCTTCACCGACCAAGTGTTCGCCTGGTGCCCTCTTCCAGGGATCTCCCCACTGCCCCAGGCCCAAGGGTGGCTGCACAGAGGGCACCTGGCCCGAGCTGGACTTGGGACAGAGGAGGAAGGGCAGGTCATCTCTGGGGTGAAACTGGAGCGGGTAGATTCCTTTGTTTCCAGCAGCCTCCTGGACGGATGGCACAGGAGAGAGACGGTTGTGCAGGAAGAGGCCCTGAGAGGCGGATGTTGGCAGCAGACACCTCACTCGTGGTTCTGGATGTCGGAAGCCAGCTCTGCTCCTGTCCCTGGAGACTGTGGGGCACTCTGAGGGCTGCAGATTACGTGTGTCTTCCTGCTTCAGCAGGTTTGGTCGGTCTCATCGTAATCAAACTGGGTCTCTGGTGGGAGAGTGGAAAAGACCCTGGGCCAAGCCTGCGAGCAGGTGTCTCAGAGGTTAGTGCTCTGAGTGTGTCTGTTCATTTGTTATTACTTCTCTGCCTGCCTGAGTCCAGTAAGAAATTAGGACCAGCACAGTTGTAGATTTTCTTAGAGAAGTGCTAGGTATTTCTGTTCTTAAATCCTGACTCCAAGACTTGGTCAGCACCAACCTGGGCTTTGTTTCATGCCTCAGTCATCTACTCTGTTAGTTGCTTCTTAATAAAGGCAAGATGAGAATGATGGCATTCAATGACCCTGAATTCTTTTATTCCTCTAGGGGATTTTCTGAGCAAGGAGGTGGGAAAGATCACCAAAGAAGTAGGAATCTGGGGGCAGAGCAATGCCATTAGGTGGGAATAGACTAGAAAAATAGAAGAAAAATCCAGACAAAAGGATAAATAGAACAGTGGATGAGTGATATGAACAGAAAGGAAGTATAAATGGCTCTTCTAAGTTATATTCACCCTCAAGAGGAAGAGAAACTCAAACTAGAACACGACCGAGATAGCACTTTTCCAGGCAAAATTCTGAGCTTGGATACGACATGCTTGTGGGTTGGTGGGAGCTGGTCAAGCCCCATGGAGGGAGGTGTAGGGACACTCACCAAACCACAAGCGCATGCCCTGGATCCCACCTCCAGGAATTTCTCTAAACTTTCACACGTGCAAAAGGACAAAAGCATGAGGCCAGCCACTGTGTCACTGTCCAGCAAAGGACTGGAGACCATTTATCCACAGAGGCTGGGGAAGTAAATGATAACACGTTGGTGTAATGAAGCGCAGATTAAAAGAGAGCAAGGAGGTTCGCCGTGCACCACCATGGAAAGACCTGGAAGATGCAGCATCAGGTGAAAAGCCAGAAACAGAACAGGGTGCACTGGGCACTGCCCTCATGTGAAAAGGACCGAGGAAGATAGGAAAGAGACGACGCCCTCTGTGTGAAGCTCCCAGCCAAGATGTTTAACCTGAAGGCAGTCATGAGGAGACAACCACACAGATCTAAACCGAGGGACATTCTACAAGGTAACTAGTCTGGACCCCTCAAAATGTTGATATCATGAAAGACCAAAAAAAAAAAAAAAAATGAGAGAGAAGAAAGAAAAGACAAGACCATGGACCAGTTCTGATGAAAGGAGACCAAAGAGAAATGACGGCCAAACACAAAGCGTGGTGCTTGGCTGGCTTCTGGGTAAGGACAAAATCAGCACAGACATTACTGGGACAGCAGGAAAAGCTGTCACACCGATGGCACAGCAGTGGAAACCAGTTCATGGGCTTCACCCTCCTGAGTGTGACAGCACACGTGGTCACGCTCCTAGGAGATCGATGCCAAAGCATTTACGGATGAAGTATGATGTCTGTGACAAACTCTCAAATATACGGGGAAAAAATACAGATGTACAGAGAGAGCAGATGTGTCAAAACATTAACAGCTACTGAATTCATGGGAAGGGTAAAAGGGTGTTGTTTGTACTATTCTTTCAACTCCCCTAAAGGTTTGAAATTTTTCAAAATTGGAAGTTGGGGAGAGAATGCATTGTGTGTTCCTGTGTGTACTGAAGGAGCACTGGAGAGACTTGAAGAAGCTGTAGGTGCTGGAGGGCAGGGAAGGGGAGGTAGTGGATGGGGTGGGGCTGGAGAGTCTTTACAGTATATACCTTTTCGTATTTTTTGAACTTTGAAACATGTAAATGTATTACCTTAAATGTGTAAAATAAACAAACACATTGTACAATTTCTGCTGTCATTTTTGAATCAAACAGATCTAGAGCTGGTAATTCTCTGCTGTGGGGTCTGCCCTGAGCATCGGAGGATGTTGAGCAGTATCTCTGGCCTCCACCCACCAGATGCCAGTAGAAAGAACCCCCAACACCACCACTGTGACAACAAAAAATCTCCCCAGACACAGCAAAGTGTCCCCTGGGGGCAAACTGACCTGCTTAGGAAGCCCTGGGCCAGATGATCAGGACCAGGGACTCCTAGGCAATGAAGCGGTGTGCTCAGGGAAGGTGGGGTTTGGGGGTACATGAAGCACCACCCCATCTTTGTGAATGTACTTACCTAGAAATGTTCATTTAAAAAATTACAAACTTTTGCCACAGAGTGAGATGATAGAATAAAACATTCAAACCTTCCTCCCAATATAAAACAAAATCTGCCATGACAGCTGACAAAATCAGTTGAACTCGGCAACCGCAAGTTTCTAATAATTTGGTCCCTAAGAGCATGTACAGGGCAATGCAGAGATCTGAAGTCAGTGTCTCAGCGTGTCTGCTCACCCTATCCCCCGATACCAGGCAGTTCCCGTTGGGGCTCCAGTTGAGGACGGTGATGTCGGCGGTTTGAGTAGGGGGGACCACATGCTGCTCCTTGTCTTGCTTATTAAACACGACCACTTCTCCGGTCTCCCAGCCAATAGCCAGGATCAGTCGCGTCGGGTGCCAGCAGAGGGAGGTGACCCGGAACGACCTCTCGATATGCGTGTCTGGCACACACTCACCCTGTGACACACGAGGTAAATTCTTTATTTTACAGGGAGTGGCCGCTACTCTAAGAATTTCTGCCTCGTCAATGGAATGACATCAGCTAGAGGACATAATGAGCAGTTTGTTAAGGAAATATTCTATTTAATTTTCATAGAAACACCCATCTTGCCTCAGCTGAACTATGAAAGCGTAAGGTAAACATTCAACTGACCCCATGGACCAGTTTATCAATAAAATTTTATTTACTTAAAATGTTTTTCCATTTATTTTTATTTATTTTTTTGGCCACGCCGTGTGGCTTGTGGGATCTTAGTTCCCTGACCAGGGATCAAACCTGGGCCCCCTGAAGTGGAAGCTCTGAGTCCTAACCACTGGACCGCCAGGGAGCTCAATAAAACTTTATTTACAAAAAGAAGTGGGCCAGCGGGTGAAGTGTGTTGA